GCGGCCACGCGCGAGAGGCCTAGTCCGAGTCCGAGGCCGCAGCGCGTGCGCGTGGGAGGCCGAAACGGCGTGGATCGTGCGGCCTCCGCTGCCGCGCTCCGTGCCGTCCCACGAGGCCACGATAAGCTGATGTTGTTGGACCCCGAAAATCTCACGCGCAGCCCACATCGCGTGTTTTGCCCGAAATCTCACGCGCGCGAGGCCCAGAAGCGACGTGGTTGGGCAGCGCGCGGAATCGGAATAAGATCACTTTGACTCCCTCAATTGACCACCGAATCTAAATCGTATCCCTCAACCGCAATACCAGAAATCTTGACTCCCCAAACTTACAAAACCGGTGCAATTTGACTCCCTGGGCGGTTTTAGGAGGCGGTTTTGCTGACGTGGCACCACGTGGTGCCTACGTGGCAATATTGACCGAGTCTTCGTTCCACGTGGCGATGACGTGGCACCTACGTGGCGGTAGAATTAAAAAATATGCATGGGACCCATTAGTCATTCACACAAGAAAAAAAGTGGGCCCACTGACATGTGGGGCCCACATATCAGTCCTTCCTCCTCTCTCTCCCTTCTCTCTCTTTCTGTCCCATTCTTCCCTTCGGCCGGTGGCACCTCTCTCTTTCTCTCCCCCTCTTCCCTTCGGCCGGCGGCGGGTGGCGAGAGCGAGCAGAGGCGGCACGCAAGGCCCAGAGTGGTATGGCGGGGAGTCGGCGCAGTCAGACGCGGCGGCGGCAGCAAAGTCTTCGGGCCCCACCAAGCCCGTGCCGCCGTGGCGGGTTCGTGCCGCGGCGGCTGGAGGACTTCAGCGACGGCGGGGCCTTCCCGGAGATCCACGTCGCGCAGTACCCGCTCGGCATGGGCCGACGGGACGAGAAGGGCGGCTCGAAGATCCTCGCGCTCACTGTCGACGCCAAGGGCAGCGTCGCCTTCGATGCCGTCGTGAAGCAGGGTGAGAACGCGGCCGGAGCTCCCGCTCGGCCTCCTCCGCCGAGTCCTCCCGTCGCTCCCCTCACTTGCGCGCCGCCGCCGCTCACTCGCCTATCCTGCCGTCGCTACTCCGGGCCTCACTTGCGCGCCGCTGCCGCTTGCTCTCACCGCCGGCCGAAGCTAGGCCGCCGCTCGCTTCCACCGCCGGCCAAAGGGAAGAGGGGGAGAGAAAGAGAGAGGCGCCACTGGCCGAAGGGAAGAAGGGGAGAGAGAGAGAAGGGAGAGAGGGAGGAGGAAGAAGGAGGACTGACATGTAGGCCAACTTTTTTTCTTGTGTGAATGACTAATGGGTCCCACTCATATTTTTTAATTCTACCGCTACGTAGATGCCACGTCATCATCACGTGGAACGAAGACTCGGTCAATATTGCCACGTAGGCACCACGTGGCGCCACGTCAGCAAAACCGCCTCCTAAAACCGCCCAGGGAGTCAAATTGCACCGGTTTTGTAAGTTTGAGTAGTCAAGATTTCTGGTATTGCGGTTGAGAGATATGATTTAGATTCGATAGTCAGTTGAGAGAGTCAAAGTGATCTTATTCCCGCGGAATCCCGCTGCAATCCATGCCGGCCCACGACGGATCGGTGTACCGCGCCCCGCGCGCGGGTCATGGATCACACGGACGGGTGGGTGGTGGCTGCGTTGACGGGGCAGTCTCGCGCGCGCGGGGGAGACGGGAGACGGACGGCGCGGCGCCGACGCAGCGAAAGCCTGAGAGGAGAGGACAACGTGCCGCTTCGCTGGCGCAGTGAGTGGCGACCGGCCTAGTCCGGCCGGCATCCAACCTGCTGGTGCTGCGCGCGCCGCCCGCCCGCGTGGCCACGGTGTGCAGTACTACAGCCGGCCACGGCCGGCGCGGAAGTTGGTGTAAGCCGGTAATCTCCTTGCCGATACATTTTTTAAAAAAAAACTTTTTTTTGCCTGTTTTTCCTTCTTCGGATAGCGGCCGGATGAGATGCTCTAGAAGCAGTGGCGGAGCCACCGCCCACCGCCGGGCGACCCCGGGCACTCGTGGCAGTGAACATGAAGTAAAATATGATATAATATAGAACTGTACTCCCTCCGTTTCGAAATGTTTGACACCATTGACTTTTTAGCACATGTTTGACCGTTCGTCTTATTCAAAAAATTTAAGTAATTATTGATTCTTTTCCTATCATTTGATTCATTGTTAAATATATTTTTATGTAGGCATATAATTTTAAATATTTCACAAAAGTTTTTGAATAAGACGAACGGTTAAACATGTGCTAAAAAGTCAACGGTGTCAAACATTTCGAATCGGAGGGAGTACTTGTCTTAGTTAGATTTGCTTGGGGTTTAAAAATTTTCTAGCTCTACTACTGTCTAGAAAATCTAGCTCTGTATACATGCTTTCATCAAAATATCATTCTAGATCATGTTTTGCTTGCCAATCCATCTGCGGAAACTGAGACCTCCCAAACACTTGTATCACTAAGGGCATTAGCAGTGCGACAACACATTTTGCTGAACCTCATGCGTCACATAGGCTCAAGAACACCTAAGAATAATGTTTAACACAAGTTTCACAGTGGTACCTAGTCTCAAGTGGGGTCCACACAAATAAAAAAGTATTTTTTTTCTCTCTCCCTTGTCCTCCCAGTGCCACGCCTCCCCTCCCCCTCCTCCGGCCATCGCGCCTCCCCCTTCCTCCTCCTGCTATCGCGCCTTCCTGATAAGCGACGGCGCCGGGCGGCCCAAGCGGCGACAGATCTGGCTGCGGATCAAGCCTCCCCCTCCCCTCCTCCTCCGGCCACCGCGCCCCTCCTCATCCTCCGGCCAGCGTGGAGTGGAGCTCGCCAATGTGGATCTAGTGGTGGGCAACCTCGACCTCCTCTCCGGTGGTGCGGATTTGGTGGTTGGCCGGTGGCTACAAGGGGAAATCAACGTTGGCACCGCCCTCCCTCCCCTCCCCTCCCCTCCCCTCTCCCCTCCCACTGCCGGCCGGCACCTCTTAGGAGAAGATGCGGAGGCGGTGGTAGGTCGATGGAAGCGGACGCCTCTCCCCTCCCTCTCCCCAACGGATCTGCCAGTGGCGATGGTTGGCGGGGGTCTTAGCGGCAGCGGCGTAGGTCGGCGACACAGATTGGGCGGTGACAAAAATCCCGGTATGCCCCTCCCTATTCCGGTCATCGTCTCTCCCCTCCCGAAGATTTTCTCTCCACTCCTGACAAAAACCTGACGAGGAACGGTGATCCATTTTAGTTTCCCATTCTTTATTTGGTCACGGGAGAAACATACGAGGCATAAAATCTTTGGACGTGATAGGTTGGAACTGAATGCCACCTATATACACTGTGAATGGCCTAATACCGCCAGTTTGGCACGATTGGCATTTATCGCCTGCAGCCGTGCGTGCATGCCCATGCAGCGGTAACAGTATGTATGGCTCATGGCTGGCGTGATCTGACACAAAACAGTGCTAGGATAGTTTGGAGAGCATGAATCCAACACGCGATCAATGGGTTGATTAAATTAATTTCAGCTGGATCGTCGGAGCTAGCCATGCGCGGCCGGCCCGGGGAGAATCCAAATCCGATTCGAGCCTGCATGTGGCCGAGATTAGCCGATCGATTAGCTCAAAAATAATGGAGATTCCAACCCCCAAAATGCTCGCGTCGGAGCACGTTCTGCAGTGCAACATGGCGCGACGCCGATGGCTGCAGCGCAGGAAGGTTCTCACGATTAAGAAATACTAGACACTAATATAATTATAGTAACAACTAGCTGCAGATGGAATCATGGATGCATGATCAATCATACATCGAGATCGTCATCCATTCCATCGATCGATCTTGTTTGTCGTTGTCGGATATTGGCGATTAAGACGGTACAGAGTGATTTCTTGAATTGTTAGTTTGCCCTTGTTATCGTCCATTCTCTCTTATCAACTTAAAGCTCAGATTATTGAGTGATTATTGCTACAGATTATCTATTTAAATTATAGAGATTAACTAAACATTTTTATAAATAAACTTAAAGTAAATTAAAACAAGTGATCTACGTAATGTAGTATAATAAAGTTTTTTTTAATAAATTCGAGATAAATAATTCTTTTGAATAATTCGATTAATAATCTGAAAATAATCAAGCCTAAGCTTTCGTAGGAGATGGCAAGCTCCATAATAATCCATATATGGGACTGAAAAATACCAACACAAAGATCTTAAATTAAGCCCCACAAGGCCACCTTAACCACCCCTCTAAAGCCACAAACAATGGAGATCATAAACACATACCTTTAGAGCTACTCAAGAAAACATGCACACCGTGCACACGTACGAAGCCGGTCTCACAAATCATCATCTCCCCCCTTTGTGTTCAGCAAGACGGCAAGCAACCATAGGCCATGAACTAACTAATTAAGCTACCTGTGCATGTTGCCCAACCATTCTACTATCATCATGGCAATAATCTAATTGAGACGCTTATGGGCTCGCTAACCGACCACCCCAATTATCATGTTCTTCTTCTTTCCCTCCAAGTCCTATCATCAAAAGCTCATCATTTTTTGGCGCCAACCTCCCATGTGCAACCCCCAAACTTGCTCTTTCCATGCAGCTCGAAAAACATCTCAACATTAATTAATTTTATTGATTGATTGGTTAGTACTACAGTACTGTAGGAGTGGTACTCCTCATAATGTTTAATAGATGTTGTCATTAACTTTTGCACATACATTTAACTATTTGTCTTATTCAGAAAATTACGTTCACTTATTTTGTTATAACTTGCTTTATGGTTAAAGATATTTGCATATTTATAAATTCCTATATAAGACGAATGATCAAACAAATGATCAAAAGTTAACGATGTCATCTATTAAAAAAACGGAAGGAATAGTTCTGTAACACGGGCCCTTATATTTTTTAATTGGGTCCCATTTTGGACTTTGGACTTTGCAGAGATTGCAGCATGCGTCGTTGGACTCTTTAAGCAGACGCACGCTTCCAAAGTCCCATTCTGAAACCTGCCTATATATACAGCGCACAAGCCTCCTTGGCACTGTCACCACTTAGCCAGCCTTCACCATTTTCAGACTTCAGAGTTGTGTACAAGTGAGAAGCCATGATCAAGCTGAGGTACTCCAAGAGGCTGTTCAAGAGGAGCTGCTCCTCGTCGAAGGCGACTGCTTGTGTCGGTGGCGGCGGCGGCGGCCATGGCAATGCGGTGGCCGCCGGCGGCGGCGGCGGCGGCGCGGGGGAGATAGGGTGGGAGGTGAGGCCGGGAGGGATGCTGGTGCAGAAGAGGGAGGGGAGAGGCGGCGAGGAGGTGATCTTGGTGAGGGTGTCCACTGGCTTCGCCTGGCACGACGTGTCCATTGCTGCGACCTCCACATTCGGTGAGTTCAGAGTTCTCAGTCTTTGTTTCTCTCTTGAGGGAAACTGAATATTTTTGTTTGCTTACTTTGGTATTGTTTGGGCTGATGTGAGGAAATGTTCATGTTGGTTTCTATCTCTCTTTTTTTTTTGAACTTTAGAGAATGTTCTTGGAACTTGTTTTGGTCATGGTTTTCTTTGGGAACCTCATCACCAATGCACAATCTTTTTGCAAGAACGATAAAGTTCAGGACTGAATCACTGCACTCCTTTTCATCAGCTCAGATGCTTTGCCATGCATTTGAATCCTAGAGTAAGGTCTATTAGTTTACAGCTAAAAGCTGGGGGGCAAAGAAGTGTAAAAGAAAGAGAGGAAGAAAATTTCATCAATTTTTTAGGGAAATTCCACTATTTTTTGTTTGGTAGTAGGTGGGTCATTGGTTGCAGTTAAGAACCCATCACACCTCCCCCACACACTTTGCCAGTTTGGTGTGAAGTAAATATCGGTTCAGTTAGTAGTAGCACTCTTTTGCTTCACATTTTCCTTGCAAAACTAAAATGCTTTTCAAGATTGTTCTAGTCAGATAATGGCTCACCAGGTGTTCATAAAGACACAATTAGCAAGGTTAAACTACCTTTGGTCTTGACTGTTCCATCATTTCACCTGCATATCCTAGACAAGCCAAAATGTGACCTTCTTCCTTTTGCACTTGGGCAATGCCAACATTTTTGTTAACTTGACAACTAGGAGGGTTGCTTGCTTTAATTGAAAAAAAGAATAGCAGTGTACCACTACTGCTCCATAACTGTACAGAATGGACTTTTACTTGTAAAAAGTCATACACGCTAAAGAAATTTATGGCTGCTACCGGCACTGCCAGCACATGCTCATATATGTATTGTATGCATCTGCCGGTGCCTGACAATAATAACATGGCTTGGAGGCAGACAAAATTGCAAAACTTCCTGCTACAATTTCCTTTTTATTTCCAAGCAAGCAAACAATCTACTATTATAAATGAAGCCCAAGCCTGAATTTAATGTTCTGTATATGTAACAACAATATTCTGCATCTTATATTGCAGGTGAGCTGAAGGTGAGGTTGTCCATGGTGACAGGGCTAGAGCCCAGGGAGCAGAGGCTGCTGTTTAGGGGCAAGGAAAGGGAGGATACCGATCACCTCCACATGGTTGGGGTGAGGGACAAGGACAAGGTCCTCCTCCTCGAGGACCCTGCCCTTAAGGACATGAAGGTCCGGGCTGCCCTCGCAGCAGCCCGGGTCATGCAGAGCCCGTGCCAGCCTTTTATCCAAGTCTAAGGGTTAGTTGGCCGTGACCCCTGTTCTGTTACCACGCTAACTATTAGAGTACTATTAATAAGTTGTACTACAATTTTAGTCGATCGACATCTCAATTTCTGGAAGGTTTTATTATATCCGGAATAGGTGGGGGGTTGGTGCTGTTCACCCCCTCCTCTCTTTAGTTTACTGTCAGTGGTGCCACTCCATGGTAGGGCAAAGGGTCCCTCAACATGAGAGTGTATGAGAGTGTGTGAGTTGTTTAATGATGGGTTAGTTAGTTGCAAGTGTCCAGCCATGGTGGTTGTGATGTGATGTGATGCTAAGCTTTGGTGCTGGGCTCCTATGGTCCCTGGTACTGTGCTCTGGTCTTTTTCCCATTCCTACATAGGTTATGGACAGGAAATGGGGGCTAAAGACGATGTATTTTGTGTTTTCTTGAATGGAAACTGAATGTGTGTGTTCGTTTCGTTGTTCCTGCCTTCTGTCGGATTCCTCATGATTTTGATTGCGATGTTGTTTGTATGGAGAAAGAGCCATGAATGATGCTTCAGGTTGAAGAAACGGAACATTGGTGATATGGAAAATCTTTAGGTGATAATGGAAAATATTGTGCGGTTGTGCCATTGAGAGTTTTGAGACAATGTGCTAAGTTGTCTTGTGCGGAAATTGCTACGTATACGACCTAACTGTCCAACTCACGTATGAATGAACTACATCAACGATTGCAAACGGCTGCAATACATATGAATATACTCTCCTTTGATTGATACATGGTTGCATATCTCTAGTTGTATGTGAGTTGTATAACTGGGTCGTACGTATAGCAGTACTCGCCTTGTGCTTAGGGCTTATTTGGTTCATAGGATTTCCAAAACATAGGATTAAAAGAAGTAAATTATTAGGATGACACATGCACTCTAATCCTTAGAAGTTTTTTTTATGGAACAAGATTATAAGGATACAATCCTTACATATTCCGTAGGATCTGTTACTATGAAACAAATAATGCACAAAGAAAAAAACCATGAGGTTTCAATTACTACAATAATCCTTTGGAAATCTTTTGAAAGGAATGAGCCCTTAAAGATTTCAGATTGGGCTGTCAGTGAGTACAAAATAGTCACCGAGATGTTCCCCATTTACAGACATCAACAACCAACATCTGCACTGGAATAAAGCTTTCGCTTATCTCTTTCATGTTTGAATTGACAGCATTGACACTGAAACACTAAAAAAGAAAGGTCACTAGGCTTCAGAAGAAAGCAAGTGCAAAGACCAGGGCATGGCCTACTTCATTTATAAGCTGTTTTAATTCTCAAGTATTTCACTTCTCACGCTAAGACCAGGGCAATTGCTAATTAAATTGATCCTCGCAGATCCAAATGTAGGAACAAAGGGAATGTCAAAAACAGCCAACATTCTCAAATACCAAGTTCATAAGATTTCCTGAAAAGTGGGTGAAATGACAAGTTCATAAAATTTCGCAAAATGGTAAACCTGCCTGAAAGCTTCTGAATAAAAGGGCAGTGAAAAACAGCCACAATTACTAGTAAGATGCGAAATTTACATAAGTATTCTTGGAGACAAGGAATGCAGCATTCATAGAACTACCTCATGCAAAGGCCAATTGCTTCTGGATGTACACTTGACAGTTCAGAGAACTGTTCAGCACTTCAGTTTTGTCAAACAGCCAAGAGGATAAGCATTCCCCGGCCATTCCTGCACTGGGCAGTACTTGTGTTGTATAGTGGAGTAGTACATAAATAAAGCTACGAAAGGACGATGAATTAGGCTGCGTTTTGGCGCCAAAAAGGTGAGAATTTTTCGCTCTATCTTAACTGCATGCATCGATGCCTACCCCCAGATTCCCAATCTAGTCTTGTTGATGCAAAAGTTGACCTAGTAATATTCTCTGATTCTCTCATCAAAGGGGGGAAAAAAGCTCATGCCTCTTTCCTTTCTCCAATCCCCATCATCATCAGCAAGAGGAAGCAAGTCCACTACCACTCACTCATGGTCCATGACTCCATGGGAAGCCATGCTTCTATCCACACCACATCTGCCACATCTGCGGATTGATTGCTCGCCGATCTCGCGTGCTGGTATCAACGTGGAATAGTCGCGCGCGCGCGCGTGCGATTCGCGGGTCCTCGCGTCCTGTGTGTCCCGTCGAATCAGCGTACGAGCGCGCGTGGAGGGAGAGGTGGTACTGCAGGTCTGCAGCGTTGCGGTGGCCGGCGATCACGGGCGGTCGGTGGCGGGCTCCCCGCCGCAGCCGCCGTCAAAATCTGCGGCTGTTGTGTGCGTCCGCGCGAGGCTGGTTTCTCTCTCGTTGCATTAATTCGGGTCGGACCTGAGAGGCCCAGTTACGGCCCGTCAGTCAGGTTAGAATTTTTCACTCTCATTGACTAATACTAAACTGATAGCACTGTGGTACGTACCAACTGTGCCGTATTGACGTGTTTGTATCACCGTATCACCTTACGCCTATCAGTTATCATAATGTACCATCCAGCAAAAATTACATGAAAATATTGAGCTGATTTGTATTGAAGTCACCTTACATTACACCTTAAACACTTTTTTTTCAACTTTAATAGTAAGAAAAATTAGTTATATGAAATTGAAAATTCATTGGTTTTCTTATATGCTATTGAAAATTCACTGTCATCTCTCTCACTCTCCAACCCTCGGGACGTTGTTGGCAGTGGTGCCATTTTCATGTTGGTAACTTCAATCCCTACGCCACCAACGTCATGTCGTCCTCCCATTGTTGATTTGTTGCCTATTATTCTGCACCCTATACACTTCAATCCTTATACGTTCCACTGCCATTTCATTGTCCCCCATCCTCCCATCACTATTTCATTATCCCCCGTCTTGTCATCGCTATTTCATCCCCCCCCCCAGATCCACCCCTCTCCACTTCAATCCTTTTCTCCCAAAAATCTACAACCCTAGGGAGTCGTCGGACGCCAAATCATCGCCCCTTGCTTTTGAACCTTTGCACTTCAATCATTGCGTGATCTCCCATCGTGCCAGTTTGTTGATCTTGTCTTTCTACCCCAATCTACTGCCCCAAGCTCCACCCCTACACATTTCGATCCTTATGCCACTGACACCAACATTGTCCTCCTACCACCAGTTCATTGCCCCGTAATACATCCCTCCGTACTTTAATCCTTACACCACCGACATCAATGTTGTCCTCCCACCACCAATTCATTGCTCCAATCCATACTCTGTCGATGCTACTACACCACCAATGTTGTTCTTCGTTGATAATTTGTTGCTCTCATCCTCCCACCACCATTTTGTTGCGTCATCCTCCCACCACTAGTTCGTTGCCCCATGCTCTGGCCCTCTGCCACCGTACTCCCACCATTAGTTTGTTGCTCTCTGCTATTGTCCTCCACTGATGTATGGTTGTTATCCAAAATACATATTGGTACGCTATCACATTAAATAGGCATATATTTGTATAATATATCGTATACACTTTTGTTCTCTTCTCGTGTTCTCTTCTCGTGTGAGAGGAATAATCTAGGTACCATAGCCCTACCGGTTGATAAGGATTTCATCAAGATTCAGGGGGTGTTTAGATCCTTTATTCCTAGGACTAAAATAAGTCCTAGGACTAAACACTTCCCGATCGGAGATCCATGAATCACAGACGCTAGTCCACGGCTGTTTGGATATAGGGACTAAAAGGGAAGGTCATTAATTACACTGTATAATGGCCATGCTACCCTAAAAGCATGTAAAGAGAGATGCACCATGCCTATGTGTGGGGGCAGTGGGTGGAAAGGAGCTATTTTAGTCCCAATAAGCTCCTACCATAGGAACTAATGGACTAATGTACTTTAAGTCATTTTTAGTCCCTCCTGTTTGAGACTTTAGGGACTAAAAGGGACTGAAACTTTAGTCCCTCCAACCAAACATGGCCTCATGCTAGTGCGGACCGCTTTACATAAAATTAAAGTTATCTAACCGGTTGACTGTGCTCGTGGTGTGGGAAATTGATCTTGTGTACCACTGTCAACTCTTTACTAACTAAGCAAGCAGCAGGTGTTGGTTGTATAGCTAAAATAAAATTCACGTTGCAATGACAATGTTAGTACACTATAGTTATTTGTAATTTTAGTATATACGAGTTGCTAATATTATTATTTTGAATTAGGATGTAGCAAATAAACTACACAATATATGTATTTGATATCATATTATACGAGAGCTCTTAAGGGTTGATAACATAATTAAAAAAAGCCAACTAATTTCGATTAAGAAACATGTCAGGTGCTATATGGACACTCTAATAAGGAAATAGATGTATAGTTCATTGAAACTGATGATTAGGAATCCTCCCATCAAGTGTGAGTACACAAATAGCAATACCCGAATCTCATGAAATGTCTAGGGTTTATCAAACCGTGCGATTATCACGGTTATCACGTGCGGTATCCTTTTCAGTTTTCAAAGCCACGGTATACCTCATAATAATTACATAGTTTTTATGATAACCATGTGGTTACCAGGGTAACTGCTAAATCGTGGGTGGTACTGGCAAGGGTCTGGATCCCCTGGAGTTAAGTATAACTCTACCGGGTGGAGTTGGCCAAATCTGTGCTATCCATTGTTTCCTACGGCTGAGATCATTCCTCATCAATTTAACCTAATAAATTTTTTTTGAAGGAAATTTCACCTAATAAATAACTCCTTAAATTAATTAATGGTTATGACTTAGTTTTTTCATGTGTTTGCTCAATAATAGCGATTTGATTAAGTTCTCACCCCCAAAAAAAAATGTAACAGAACAACGTTTTGTTATTCCCCAAACAACAGATATAGTCGATCAACTCTAAAGCGGCAGTCAGTGTATATCAACATAGTGCTTTCACATATATGCAAATAGCAAACCATATCAATATTAATGTGTATGATTTTTTAAATAATAGATGAATCTTGAATTTTTTGTGCTAATTATACGGTAAAAATGATCTCGTGACAAGCTGTTGATGCAAGATTATTTGTTGCATGGTCAGTTACTGGTTTTTAAGTATAAATTAATGTGGCTTAATCCTAGCCCTTGAAGTATGCCGAATGGCACAGATTTGACCAACTCCACCCGGTAGAGTTATACTTAACTCTAGGTGATCTGGCTCCAGATAATTTGGTAAACCTGGTCGGGATCCAAATCGCGAAAGCTTCCGGTGCTTCCCTGCACAACGGTTTTTGCAAACGAGGCTATTGACATCTTTGTCTTCTTTCCCCTGTCCACTGTGGCCTCTCTTCTCGCAGTCCAGAATTCGGATGGCATGTGCTCCGGTCACCACGCGACTGGATTTTTCATATTTTGGTCCTTTTAAAAAATTTATTTCGCAAATAGACCCCTAAAAAAACTTATCCTAGAAATGGTCCTTTTTGGGGCGCCGGAGTGGCTGGCGCCGTCATCCAACGGGACGGCGCCAGCCTCTCTGGCGCCGTCCTCCTGCCACCGTGGCGCACGCGAACCGACGTGGTAGGAGGAGCAGCTGGCGCCGCCCCAGGGAGGAGGGCGCCAGCATGGCTGGCGCCGCCGCCTCCATTTCTGTTTCTCTGTATGGAGTTGCAACGGTGTCATTTTTATTTTATTTTTTCGGATGTTTTTTCACACTCAGGATCACGATACAACCAACCACAAAAAAAATTTAAACTCGAACTACCACTTAGCTAAGTCTGAAAATATCTAGCATACCACTTAGTCTACTTTGCACCTTCACTAAAATTAGACCATAACTCCTTTAGTAAAACCCTTTGATTAGCATGTTAAACATAATGCACTCTACCACTATATGAAATTACTTAATCTAATTCAAAATATAATCATATGAAATGACATATATAAGTTAAACAGTACATAGACATGCAATTTTTTTATTTTTATTTCATTTTTTTGATATTTTTTTCACACTTAGGAGAACATAGGAACCAACCGTATAAAAAATAAACTCAAACGGACAAAATATGTGACATGTAGAATTTTCCAAAACTCTACCGAAACGGACAAAATATGTCATCTATTTAAATAGGCGTAACTTTCTTATACGGACTCGAAATCAGGAAAATAATATATGCACAGACATCTACAGAAAAAGTTACATCCAATTCTCCCCGCTTTGCCGGGTTCGGCGATATTAAATCCCCCAAATTCCGTTTGCAAGATTGTGTTTTCGAGGAGAGAAGTTTTTCGGTGGAGCTTTGGAAAATTCCACATGCCACATATTTCGTCCGTTTGAGTTTATTTTTTACATGGTTGGTTCCTGTGAGTTCCTAAGTGTGAAAAAAATATCAAAAAAATAAAATAAAAATAAAAAAGTTGCACATCTCTCTCCTCTGCACTAGTTCGGAGAGAAGAGAGGAGAGGAAAAATTCTACATGTCACATATTACGTCCATTTGAGTTCAATTTTTCTATGGTTGGTTCTTGTGTGTTCCTAAGCATGAAAAAAAATATCAAACAAATAAAACAAAAATAAAAAATTTCGGGGGGGGGGGGGGGGCGCCAGCCACTCTGGCGCACTCCCCCTAGCCACCTCAGCATCACCCCGCCACATTGGCAGGGGGACGGCGCCAAAGAGGCTGGCGCCGTCCTGTTGAACGACGGCGCCAGCCACTCTGGCGCCCCAAAAAGGACCATTTTTCGGATAAGTTTTTCTAAGGGTCTACTTGCGAAATAAGTTTTTCAAAAGGACCAAAATGTGAAAAATCCAGCACCACGCGACGCATCCGGTCGGGACCATCCCTTCCTTCCCTCCCCTTCCCTGCCAAACTCCCAGCTTCGCGCTGCCTCGCTGCCGCTGCCGCCGCCGCCGCGACCCCCACTTCTCCGCCAGCAAAGCGAGCTGCTCTGCTCCGGTTGCCTTCCTCCCTAAGCCTGCTCTGCTCGCGGGCACCAGATTCGGCGGGCAGCGAAGCAGACAGCTCTCTCCGCCCCTGCCTTTTCTGTTTCTTGATTAGTATAATATCAATTAGGAGGCTTTTCTTTGCTTTCGATGGGTGTGTGCGTGCGTGTTGGTAATTTTGATTAGTTAGCGGCCCATCCTAGCCACGCGACGCCGATCTCCAGGGCGCGGCTGTTCTTGCCAAACCGCAACCACCACTAGCCCCCACTTCGTCCGGTTTTAATTTTCAATTATCTTGGCAGTTCGTGAGCCTTTCGTTTTCTTGGGGCTCCAGGGTTTCGCGTCTCTCTCTGGTTTGGACTTTGAGACTTGACGACGCTCTGGTGAGCGGTGAGTTTCTTGGAAAATTCTTGCTGCTTGACTGCTTTTTTTTTTCTATCCGTTTCCTGGAGAGATTTTCGGTTTACTCATTGTTGATTTTGCCGTGATTGGGTTGGGCAGGGTTGATCGGCGTTGAGGAAGAGATTGGGCGGAAGGTTGTCGATGGAGCCGCCGTCTGGGATTCGGGCATCTGCCTGGAGCTTCTTCAAGTTCCTGCCTTTCTTCCTTGGCCTTCTCCTCCTGGGGATCATCAAAGGTGAAGAGAAAACACTGGTTGTATTGGTTCATCTTGTTTGGTTGCTTCTGTTTGTTTGTGCTAAGAAAGTATTGTCATGAGAGTATTAGAGGAGAACTTCACATAGCAGTGTCTCTGTAATTATGTACTGTGGAATTGTGGCGCATTTGTTAGTTTTTGATCAGAATGGCAAGCCGAAGATCTCTCTGGGTGACCCATTTGCATTTTCCTTGCATTAGGGTAGTTTGGTTGAGTGGGTTGGAATTGGAATCGCTCAGAGGATGTCATTGTTTTCCTTTTTCCTTCTTTTTTGGCTGATTAGTTAAAGTTTTTTGGATTTTAGCCTCTCTTTTTTTTTTTGTTCTGGTTCAGCTGGAGTTCGTCACTTGCACTTCATTTAGACTGATTGCAACTGTCCATTGCAAAAGGGGAATTGAAGTACGGTACTAGGTATCTGTAAATTCCAGAATGCAAAATCGTTGTACGAACTTAAATGCCTTTTCAGCATATGATCAAATACTACTTAGTAATTTTTGCCGTCCCATGTTCCCATTTTTGAACCTCAGATTCTGACTTGCAATTCCTCCCTACGTGTTAATTTTGCCTATGCAGGTGCTTTGCTCTTCCCATGGGCATGGCTTATCATGATGATCGGAATCTCTGCACTCGTTCTTGGCTTATGGCCTATGCATGTGATCTGGACATACTACTGCATCATCAGGTTTAGGATTCACAACTCAGTACAGATCCGTTCCAAAGAGAATTACCACATAATTATGAAAACTGTACTTATATATGCTTGTCATCTTTTTTTCGGAAAGCAGATCCAAGCTTGTCGGGCCTGTTGTAAAGCTGCTTCTTCTTGTCGCCGCATCTGTGATTTTAGTCTTATGGCTCATTGTCGGGATCGTGGGAAGTGTCCTAATTGGTGTGGTGTATGGTTTTCTCGCTCCAGTAATGGCCACATTTGATGCAGTTGGAGAAGGAAAAGAAAGACCACTATACCACTGTTTTGTGGTACATTTTCCTTTTCGTTGATTTACTCTGGCATTTTCCTTGTTCTTACTTCTAAAGATTTATTCCTTCGAAAAAATAACTTCTCAAGTTCTACATCGGTATATGCAACTTGAAATGCAGGATGGAACATGGAGTACTATAACAGGAAGCTGTACAGTAGTTAGGGACCTGAAAGATTTATTATTGCATTCATATTTTTCAATAATGGATGACCTTCGTTTTCATGCACCTCCTGGAGGAGAGCCATATGAAATAAGGTTTGTTTTCTCCTTTCAAGGTTGCATTTTATTGTCAGGACATGGAATCTTCATCTAAGATTCTAACAGTGCAACCTTCTCATGAATTCAGTTATTGTTTTTGCTATCTGGGACCTTTGTTCTTACATGCATGAATAATTAAGGTTTGCAATAGATTTTGAACTGAAACCTTAATTTACAATGATATGTGGGAGTTTTCCCTCATAAATTTAACTTCACCACGCTACAATTTCAAAATTGGTGCTGTTTATATTTATTTCTGAATGCCCGCCTTGATCTTATTTTCTTGAAGAATTCCATATAACAAAGTCAAATAATACTTCTACATCTCCCAGAGTGCTTGACATTCCTGGTGCATTATTCGCTGCTGCGTGTGGATTTCTAGTGGATGGAATAATGTTCACACTAATTGCCTTCTACAAGTTCCCTGTGATGCTTTTCAAAGGATGGAAGCGGCTGATCGAAGACTTAGTCGGCAGGGAAGGACCTTTCCTGGAGACAGCTTGTGTGCCATTTGCTGGTCTTGCTATTCTTCTGTGGCCATTTGCTGTTTTTGGAGCTTTTCTAGCCTCCATCATCTCCAGTATTCCTTTAGGTGCTTTTGCTGCTGTTGTGGTTTATCAGGTAGCCACTTGCTGACCGTGAATATTTTTTTTTCACTTCTAGTATAAATTGATCTGTCTGAGGTGAATTCATGAAGCCTAACCATGTCTCTGTGCCAGGAATCCTCGCTTATCATGGGACTAAATTATGTAATATCATCAGTGGCCATCTTTGATGAATATACAAATGATGTGCTTGACATGGCACCAGGATCCTGCTTTCCCAGGTATGCACGATGCTCTTTATGTTTTGAATCCTCCTTGTCTGAATGATACAAGCTAACTCTAACATTCTATTACTAGGTTTAAATACCGGAAAAATGAAGCTTCGACAGAGGGTGGTTCATTATCAAGGCCTGCCTCATTTAAGGACAAGCAAGACGGGAAGAAAGCTCCATCACGTGTTACATCGTTTAAGGGCAGCTTTGATGAGTTCAATCCATTTAAGGTGATCTCTTCTAGGCTAAAATTGGCAGATTTTGTTGAATCATTCTACTATATTAGGAGGGGCAACACCTGTTCAGACTTCTAGAGATTACACTATCCTGCTCGATCGTCCCATTTTCACTTCTCATTTGCACATCCCATGAAAGTCTGCTTTAGACTCGTGCAAATCTGTCTGATTGATTTTTTGAATGAAAAAAAAAATATCTGATTGATATTATGATTTAGTTGCTAGATCACCTGTTTGAGGAGTGTAAGCACCGTGGAGAGGTTCTGGTTGCTGAAGGAGTGATAACACCAAAAGACATTGAAGAAACAAAGTCAGGAAAAATCGGGATTGGAGTACTTAATGTTGGTTTGCCGGCATATGTTATTCTTCACGCACTCATTAGATCTGCAAAAGCTAATTCTGATGGCCTAATTTTAAGTAAGTAATAAAATAGTTTTTCATATTCGAAAACAGGTGCTATGACTTTGCTTGACTCACCTTTTGAAATATTATGCAGGTGATGGTTCTGAAATAACATCTGATAACAGGCCTAAGAACACAATCTTTGATTGGTTCTTTGATCCTCTGATGGTCATCAAAGAGCAAATAAAAGCCCAGAATTTTACAGAAGAGGAAGAAGCATACCTCAAGAAGCGAGTGCTGCTGACCAGTGATCCGAAGCGCCTCAAAGAGGTTGTTCCTCATCTGCCATCATCACTGAATGAGCGAAAACAAGCTGAAATCGACGCACTTTCCCGGAGGTACTTCTGTTCATCACCCTTCCTGTTTTTTACCAACTAAAGTTCTTTTTTTTCTAATCTGTTTTTAATCCTATGCAAGATTGCAAGGAATCACAAGGTCGATATCAAGGTACCCAACGGCCAAGCGTCGTTTCGACGACCTTGTCAGATCACTCTCGGAAGAGCTCGAGAGGACAATGGGTGGCAGCCAATCTGGCAGTGTGTCCCAGATGCAGAAACTGAGAAGCGGCATCAGCCGAATGCTCAGCCAGAGATCCATGGGGAAGAGGACGAGCAACCGTGGTGATGATCGGGAGGCGCAGTTGACAATTGATCCCTAACATCTCCAGAAAGTTCAGACAGAATTTCTTCGTCGTCTTTCTAGAGCTACTTTAGCTGTCTTGATTTGTACAGAACTGTTTAGACCGGTGTATGAACTAATTCTAACCACTCTTGAATGAAATGGATGTTGCAAGATTCTGTGTTTTTGGAATCAAGCCCACACATCTTAGAATAATCGGTGCCCCCAAATACGATGCCACCTGGCAAGTAGATTAGTAGTAGTATGCCTTTGCATATTCATTGTGCTTAATCTCTACTTTGGACTTGTTCCTGGAATGAGTAGAATCTGGAATTCTGGATAGACCCTGTCTGCTTGAAAGGAACGCCATCTCAAGAAGAAGCTGTATCCCCAACAATACGGGAAAAAGAGAGAGAATAATTCTGAAAGGCATACTCAAATTTTTCGAGTTAATTTCAGTTCTTTGAAATCTGGCGTTACAGTAGGAAATCAAGGACTACAGGTTCATGTTTCATAATCAGTGGAAGGAATATAACTCACGATCTAAACACTGGGAATGTAATGTATCTATGAAGTTGTACAGCGGAGCCACGTACTTGTCCAACATGCTCAGGAAACAGTAAAATCTCAAACAAGAATGACTAATCTGAAGCATCACTGCGCTTTCTTCTTAGCATCTTTGGCTTGCCCCTTCTTGCGGATCTTGATGCACATTCCCAGGCGAATGCTGTCAATGAGTGACTCGGGGAGAATGGAGATCAGGAACCACATTACAGAGTGTGGCCAGTACGGTGTGCACCTCGGCTCATAGCCTATGTGACGAATGGCAGCACGGGCGTAGGTGTCCGCGGATGGGACAAAGAACGAGGATTTCCTGATAGAGGCCATCTTTGTTGCCACATACAAGGGCACCTGAACAGATCACAAGTCATTTAAGTGTGCAACAGTTCATATAGAAGAAAGAACAGTATCTATAGTAACAACAGGCAGGGAAATTATTCAGATGTTTCTTTCTTTCTTTTTTTTGTTGGACCACCAAGTACACTCAGGAGACTTCACACTACTGAGGTGCTCTTTGTTTCTCATTTACATATGCAATTTATCTAATAATCTATTTTCTTTTTGAATCAGGAAGGGGCATTTTAGATAACTAAATTTTCACATGACAGATAAGGTTAAAAGTAGGGACAGCTCAGTAATCAGTAAAAAAAAAAAGAAACGATCTTAAAAAATAAAGTAGATGATGAGAAAATAATGGTTTTATTTGAGAAAGCCTTTGTCGGCATTTGGTTGCATCTATGTGCATTATGCAATGATTTATCCTTAGCAGTCTTACCAACTTCAGAAACACTCTAGTTAATTTAGAGAACATATTGTATAAAGCTTCTACCATAATATATACAGGAGACCGATTAAGACAAGTGGTGTATTCTGTTTTTTGTTTGAAATTTCAGTTGCTGACAAGAGATATGTAGGAAAAACCAAACAAGCACTTAGGTGATTATGGCCATAAAAGGTTATAGTCTTAGATAACCAAACGTTCTAATACAAGGAAAATCAGATGTTGAGCTTGCAAGAACCGCATAATGGAGAGATACTTTGAGAAACAGAAACTAGTAATTACCTGGCATTGCACATCAATACCCTTGCTCTTGTACTCAACATAAAGGCATCTTGAGAATTGGTCAACGTAACTGAGAAACAAAAATTTATTAGTCTCAGTCCTATGTTAGCTAACATAGGTAGATTGAAATGAAGAGAGAGAGAGAGAGAGAGAGAGAGAGAGCATCACTGTTCTCTCCAGCAGAATTAACAATTCCTATGAAATTGTAGGAATATATATGCTAGTAATACATGTTAATGTGTTCAATTTGCATGGAAATGGGCAAACTTGCATTAAGTTGTAGAGAGTACACAAGTTTATACAGAAACAGCTTCAACTAAAAAAATATACATGAGGAGAAATGGTGACTTTATTCATCTTTCCCCGCTATGTACCTCTGCATAATGCCAAGATTTACGCACAGAAAAAAGGGAGAAATGATCCAACTGTTCATACGTGCGCGTGGTTTGCTAGCATATTTTTTACTCCTACATGATTGTGCTAGTGTGCTGCAATATTTCTTGGTCTTGGACTCAAGATGAGCCATATCCCATGAGAATAGACCCACCAGGTACTCCAGTTTTCAAAGCATCTAGTTACTGTAACAAACCCGTCAGAAACAACTGCAAGTGATTTTATTAATATACTATGGCATGTTAAAAATAAGCAATTCACATTCTTCTAATTCACTAACAGACCGCTGACTGATTTCACAACAGATCTGACCACAACTTCGGCATATCACAAGCTAAAAAGGCACTAAATGATGTACTATTCCAGTCTCCAGCTACTTCTGGATTGGCACCAGAATCTGATACGGGTGTGACATCAGAATTTCAAAACTAACAGCTCACACCAAAAGCGCTCGGTTTCCCTATTCAAACCCCAAAATCTTCCTAATAGGTTGGAAAATCAAGTAGTGAAGTAACAAGTATTTGCACTACCGCCATCTATCATCAGGAACATTCAGATAAATTAAAGCACCGCATCTAAACTTAACTATACTTCAGAACACAGAGCAAACTAGCAAAGTGGTTGTGAACTTGCAATTAGGGGATACAAGAACACGAGGGAGAGCTCACGCTTTGGTGGCGGCGTAGACGGAGTAGAGCGGATCGGACGGCATGACGGAGGAGGAGCCGGAGCCGATGTTGACGATGGCGCCGCGCTTCCTCTCCACCATGGCCGGGAGCACGGCGTGCGTGACCCGCGTGAGGCCCTCGACGTTGACCCGGATCAGGGTGCGCATGAGCTCCTCGTCCACCTCGTGGAGGTAGCGGGCGTACGGGTACGAGACACCGGCGTTGTTGACGAGCACGCCCACCTCGAGCCCACGGATGGCCTCCCTGAGCCCCTCCACCCCGGCGGCGAGGCCGTCGGCGGCGAAGTCGAGCACGAACGTCCGCACCTCCACCCTGGGGTACCTCCCCCTGATCTCCTCGGAGACCGAGGCCAGCTTGTCGGGGCTCCGGCCGACGAGGACGAGGCCGAGCCCCGAGGCGGCGAGGCGGAACGCCATGGCGCGGCCGATGCCGTCGGTGGCGCCCGTGACGACCGCCCAGGCGCCGTAGCGGCGGCGCAGGGGCTTCCCCGGGCGGAGGAACGCGGCGTAGAGCCAGAGCGCGAGGCGGAGCGCGGCGCGGGCGGCGGCGAGGAGGCCGACGCCCGCCAGCGCCAGCGCCCACGCCGGCTGCGCGCGGAAGAACTCGGCGTGCGCGCACGTGCCGGCCATGGCGTGGCTGGCGGCGGCTCGCGCGAGGATTTCGGGGGGAGCGGAGAAGAGAGATGTGCTGATGCTGATGAGTTCGATCCGGCGCGGTGCGGAAGCGGTCAGAGCTATATTAGCTGGGAACGTGGGGTTGGTGGAACCGGTGCACCATCCAGGGTGATCTGCTGGAATACCGTTGCACGCTGGCTTTGAGTTGGTGAAAGACCCAAAAAGAGGCTACTCCATCTATTTCATATTAAATCGTTTATTTTTTTCTCAAACTTTTTAAAATTTGATCAAGTTTATAGAAAAATATAGTAGTATTTTTAACACAAAATAAACATATTATCAAATTTAATGTTAATTAATTAAATAGAAAAACCACTTAACAGTATTCCATAGGCACAGGATAACTACTGCCACTAAATTTCTAACTCTCACTCCTCACACCATCTATTCAACCTTATCCTCTCATCACTTTCCCTTCCATCTCCTCTCTCCCTCTCTCTCCTTCTGACTAGCACCCTCATGGAGCACGGAGGCAACGGCGGCAACTGGCCTTGCAGGGTGGCGCGTCGAGCGTGGAGGAAGCTGCCATCACCGCCGCCGCCATTGCTGCTGGTGGAGGCATGGGCGGAGTAGAGGAGAAGATCGTGAAGCTGTTCGTGGGGTAGGTGCCCAAGCACATGATGGAGGCGGAGCTGCTCACCACATTTCAGGAGGTGGCCATCGTCGACGAGGTCACCGTCATCAAGGACAAGAGACCTCTTTGTGATCTGTACACCCAGATCTAGGCTCGCGACCTCCAAGCTCAGGTGTTGTCTTGTTCTGTGTTTGATTTTGGGTTCTACATGTTCTATGGGTGATTCTACAGCTATGATGACTTATTCATGGTATTGATTTCCTTTATTAATTTTATTCAACTCTCTCTTGATAAACATATGATTTTTGGTTCTTTATTGCCGTGATACTTTAGTGGTATCATGATACTTTGGTACATGTAGGTATCATGTTTGATATCCAGGTATCAGACATGGTACCAGTAGGTACCATACTTAGTACCTATGGTATCATGGCTAGTACCCATAGGTATCAGACCTGGTACCTGCAAGGTATCAAGTATCAGACCTAGTACCGAGCACCTGTAAGGCATCAGGTATCATGGCTGGTTGCGAGGTATCAAGTATCAAGCACGACACGTGTTCTCTTGTCTTCTGCCTTACCTAGACTCGATCCTTGTCTCCTATTTGCTGTCGCAACCAAAGTCCTCCTCTCCTGCTCTGGCTGGGGGGAAGTCTTCCTAGGAGTAGTTGCAGGCGGCGCCAGCGAGGTATTGCGTGCAAAGCAGGGTTCTAGCTGGTTGGAGGAAGGAGCACTCCTGCTCGGAGTAGTCACGGCGGCAGCGCCGCCGGCGAGGTTTCGCACGCGGAGGCGCGTGATACCGAGCCGGGTTTTGGCTGGGGTGGAATCGCGTGGACAGTGTGGTCCTCGGTCAAAAAAAAATATGTCGGGGGATTTAGTTATCCCGTGACTACCACGTTGCAACAGAATCCCGTAGGGTAGCTGCCCTCTTAATAAAATTAATTTGATATTTTAGATGTTGCTAAATTTTTCTGTAAACTTGGTCAAACTTAATAAAATGTGATTATGAAAAAAAGTTATACGACTTATAATATGAAACGGATAGAGTAAATAAATTGTGAAGTTATTCGATTTAAATACAATGAAAGAATAAAGTTTTATAATAAAGTATAGTAGGTAAGTACACAGAAAAGCACAGGGTGGTATATATGGCGGTTAGAGTCATGGATCTATTACTCCCTCGTCGGAACCGGATCCTCTGACGTTGGGAAAACTACGTCAGAGGGCAGTAGCTCTTCGATCCACCATCCCCCAAGCATCCAACGCTCCTGATGAATAGCGCAATGTGGTCCTCATTTGCAGCTGCACTTGTTCACTCGTGAGGGGGAAATATCGGCGATGCCGGGTGCCGCTACTTGCTCGCCACCGTCCACCGCGTCACCAGCTGCTACTCCTCTCTTGTCGCCATTCATCACGCTGTCGGCTGCAGCGTCTCTCTTGCCGCCGCTGTTTGGGCACCGCAGTCCGCCATCTGCCTGGCCATGGCCACTCCGGACTGCTCTACAGATTGCAGGTTCATCAACACTTGTGTGTGCGTCTGGCTTCTGCATCAGGCATGAAGCAGCCGTCGATTCATTCCCTGTGTAGGTGTGTAACTCATCAACATCATTTGTGGAAACTTCACTTTCTTGCCGACCATGTTGAAGAGTGACTAGCATGGCGGGTTGTTGGACCTCGCAGGCGGCGCCCTCGGCGATGAGACCAAGCAGGCGGAAGCGTCACCTATGCCCTCAGCGTCGGCGGCGACGACTGAATGGTCTTCTGGGTTGAAGATGGAGAACGGACTGGCACTACGAATGATTGGTGCCGTCGGATGCGCTACGCACGGTGATCCCGCCTTGAACGTCCCTCTGACGTAGAGGCTTCTACGTCAGAGGATCTCGTTCCTCCTCCGTCAGCTTGAATTCTATTTCCTGCGAATGTTGGGCATATTTGCGAGCTGAAACGCACCTGATTTTTGAAATGATTTTTCTAGTTAGGGATTTCTGGATCTCCATATGATAAGAGACACATCCGTGGGTGTGGATGCGATTGCGAGTATTGTGTGTGTCTTTTAGTTTAATCGGGAGAATATTTATAAGAGAAAATTTAAGAAAAAAGGGAGTATCATTGACAGACACCTAATTCTAAGCCATCGACAAGTGTGAATTTCATGCAATGTCATCGTACAAGTAACTTTGTATTACAAATACCATCGTTATTAGGATTCTGCTAGCGATCCTCCGTTAATTGTTATAGGATGAACAATGTATTTTACATTGGATACATTGTAAAATACATCCTATAAAATAGAAATGTTGTAAGAGAAATGTTGTCTAATGTCAATGGATAACGGCAATCTTTACATTGGATAGAAGCATGGGATAGCATGACACCACCACGAGTTAACCACAAAAGCAGAGCCATGAGCTTTATATTGTTTGACCACACTCTTTAAGCATGATAAAATGCGTCTACTGAACTACGTATGCACTAAACCACTTACCAGTTTGGTGCACCTACATCTAAAACTAAACTAGACTAAACTCTTATCCAGCACAGTTACTACTTTACAAATTAAAAGAAGAAAAGACACATCAGACTATTTAGTATTCACCACATATTACATAAGGAACCATGAAAATTCAGGAATTTGGTCTTTGAATCTGCTGAAGATGAAAATTAAGTGTTTCACGTAAAACGAGGTTGTAATAATGTGTGATTAATTGAGTTTTAATTATTACAAACTTGAAAAATGGATTAATCTGATATTTTAGAGCAACTTTCATATAGAAAGTTTTCACACGAAACGCACCGTTTAGCAGTTTGAAAAGCATGCCACAAGTATCCAAAATTTAAACCTATTTATAGAGTATTTGAACGGGGTAAAAGATATTCTTTCTAGATCTTAAAAAAGAAAAAAGTAATGAGTTACCGTCGTCTCACGGTTTGACAGTTACCACGGTAATCGAGTAGTTAAAAAAAACCATACGGTTATACCGTGATTTCGAAAACTGAAAAGGTTACTGCAAGTGATAATTGTCCGATAACTGTTCGGTGTTGTAAACCGTACGGTTGGGAGTCAGGATCAGCGGTTGCAACCAAAGTTACAAACCGGTCCATGGCGTGCGTGGTGCACTGCACGGGGAGCGCATTGGCAAGTGCGAAGGGGACAAGACGGATTGGGCTTGGAGCGGTTGGGGTTTGGCGAGCTGAAACTGAAGTGAGCTGAAGGAGGAAGGCGTCATCGGCTCATCGCGGTCACAGACGGCAGGCGGAATATGGAACAGACAGATCGATCAATCCCAACCATGTTAGTGTTTCCTATTGGATCACCTAGGTTTAGATCTAGTCGGGTGGTTCTATTTGCGATGGATGATTGAACAACAATAGAGAATAAGGGAAAGGGTTTAGGGATGTGACCGGTTGACGCGTTGGATGAAGAGGAAGTCCCAGCCATCGTCGTTGTCGTCGCTCTGCTTGACGTGGGCGGCGGCGGCGATGGCGGTCGTGACGGCGACGGTGCTGCGCGGCAGTGGTGGTCGTAGGGGATCCCGGCGAGGTCGTGGCGCGGCGGTGGAGTCTTCCCGTCACTGGCTGCGCCCCCTCGATCGGTTAGGGTTTATGGGGTGGAGTGGCGGCGACGGCGACGAACCTCGTTCCTTGTGTCGTTATGCCGTCCCGTCCTCCACCCCTCTTTATATGGCACAGTGTGACGGGGCCCACCAGCCATTGGGCTGGGCGCCCCCGATCAGGGCGCGGGTCAAGGCCCCCTTGAGCCGTTGGGCTCAAGGGGAGGGAGATCCATCTAACATTCTCCCCCTTGATCTCACTATTTCCTTTAGCTTTTTCTATTCCATCACAGATTTACATATAGAGCATGTTTCATCGTCACGGTTAATTACCGATGGATTCGACAGCCACTATACACATCTCTATTCAGAAACAGATACTTTAACTTTTGGGCCCTATAGTCCAGGATTCATAAGGCTTCCCTTAAAACCCATGCATGCTACATGTTCCTTGAACATGTTGGGAGGTAGGCCTTTCATGAGCGGATCCGCGAGCATCCTTTCTGTTCTTATGTGCTCGAGACTGATTGTTTGATCCCGGACTTTGTCTTTCACAACATAGTACTTTATGTCAATGTGTTTGGCAGCACCACTTGACTAATTGTTGTGAGAGTACATTACTGTGGGTTCTTTATCGCAGTATAACTTTAGTGGTTTCTCAATACTATCAACCACCTTTAAAACCGGGTATGAACTTCATTAGCCAGTTCACCTGCCCCGTAGCCTCATGGCATGCTATAAACTCGGCATACATGGTAGACCCTGCAGTGGTAGTCTGTTTTGAGCTTTTCCATGAAATAGCTCCTACTGTCAGGGTAAACATGTATCCCGATGTTAACTTTGTATTATCTTTTGCAAAGTCAGAATTCGAATACCCCACTATGTGGAGCGATTCTGCTTTTCTGTAAGACATCATGAGGCCTTTTGTTCCTTGCAATCACGCAAGACTTTCTATACCAATTTCCAGTGCTCTAGGCCTGGATTACTTTGAAATCTGCCAAATAACCCGGTAACAAATGCCAAGTCAGGTCGTGTGCACACTTGCGCGTACTGTAGGCTTCCTACAGTTGACGCATATGGCTTTGTTTTCATTTTATTGAGCTCATACTGATTTCTGGGACATTGCGATGCCCCATACTTTTCGCCTTTGACTATAGGAGCAGGTGTAGCACTGCATCTGTACATATTGAATTTCTTCAACACATTTTCTATATATATATGCCTTTTGAGAAAATCCCAATGCATACTTTGTTCTATTTCGGTGAATCTCTATGCCCAAAACATATGAAGCCTCACCGAGGTCTTTCATGTCAAAGTTTGAGGACAAGAATTTCTTTATTTCCTGCAGTAGATTGACATCACTACTAGCCAGTAGAACGTCATCTACATACAGAATTAGGAAAATGAGTCTCCCATTCTTAACTTTGAATCAATACAGTTGTCCTCTACATTCTCTTGAAAACCCAAATTTCTTTATTGTTCCATCAAACTTCAAGTAGCATTGTCTCGAAGCTTTGCTTTAACCCATAAATGGATCTCTTTATACGGCATCCCATATTTTCGTTTCATTTCATGACGAAACCTTTCGGTTGTGCCATGTATACTTTTTTTCTTCAAATCACCATTTAGAAATTCCGTTTTTACATCCATCTGATGTAATTCCAAATCATAATGTGCCACTAGTGCCATTATAATCATGAAGGAATCTTTACAAGAGACTGGAGAAAATGTCTCATTGTAATCTCTTTTCTTTGCGTGAAAACTGTTGCCACAAGTCGCACTTTAAACTTTTCTATATTCCCTCTGGAGTCATATTTGATTTTGTAGACCCATTTACAGCCTACTGTTTTGGCTCCTTTAGGAATTTCTTCTAAATCCCAGACATCATTTAATTTCATTGATTTCATTTCATCTTTCATGGCTTCTCATGGCCTCTTCATATGAGATGGGATCATCCTCCATATGCGACTCTTTCAGGCCTTCTAGGGGCCTCCTATTCTGGCACATTATCTGTTTGAGGCTGTTTCAGCTCCTCCTCTGATGTGGCAATAATTTCTGTTGAATCCTGTAGAACAGGTTCCTCACTTTCATTCATTGTTGCCACAGGAGAGATAACAACAGGTGTTGGTACCGCAACGGCATGCATTGCTGGCACAACATTAGCAGGTAGAGAGAAGAAAGGTTCCTGAGTCAACGGAGCGGGTACAGACACCCGCCTCTCCTCAAGATCAATTTCTCGAACTACCGAGCTCCCCCTAATCATTTCGTCTTCCAAGAAGACGGCGTGTCTCGTTTCTACAAACTTTGTATAACTGTTTGGACAGTAGAAATGATGACCTTTTGATCTTTCAGAATAGCCAATAAAATGGCAGCTTACTGTTTTGGGTTAAATACTTTATCCTTTGCAGGACTCCCCCACACATGGAGGATCCATAGCTCATATGGTGTTTTGGGCACCGATGCAATCTATACATTGTATGCATTGTTCTAAAACTGAGAACTCCAATGGAGGAAGAATTACATTCTTAACCAGTCTCTCAATTCTCCCCCTCGAAATATGGCCTAAACAACAGTGCCATAATTTCGATGAGACATCAAGAGTTCGCTTTCTTTTCTTTTGTCAACGAGGACACAACATTCACATTCTCAGAAAGAGATAACAAATAAAGCTGATCTTGCAACACAAGACCAATACATTCATTATTATACCATAGTTCACATTTGCCATTTCAAATATATCAGAATCCAATTTGGATACACTTATTATCAAGTTTCTTTGCAAAGAAGGGACATAAAAACGTCTGGAAGTAAAAGTGTGAAGCCATTCGCGAGTTCTAGGCGAAGATCTCCAACAGCCTCAACTTTTGCTTCAACTCCATTGGCAACTCTAATGGATCTTTCACTTCTTTGCGTAGTCCTCATTGAACGGAATCCCTTTAAACAATTACACACATGAATAGTTGCTCCAGAATCAATCCACCATGTGGATCTAGAATAACCAATCATAATGAGATTCTTTACAAATGTAATAATGTTCTCACCTTTCTTTGCCATGATCACTGTCAGGAAGTCAGGACGATCTTTCTTGGAATGTCTTGTCTTCTTGCAGTGTAGACACTGATCTTGTCTCAACTGTAAACTGTTGTTTCTGAGGCAGATGCTGAGGCTGTTTTTCTTTTGAGGAGGGTGACCTGTGGCTCTTTTCCTTGTTATCTTTGACAAGGTTAATGGAGTCACCATTGGTCTCTTTGTGTCTTTCCTCCTCTTGCACACAATTAGAGATGAGCTCTTCAATATTCCAATTCTCTGTACTTATTTTGTAGTTGACAACAAGGTTGTCAAAGTTCTTTGGCAATGAGGACAAAACCAGATGGACCAGAAAGTCATCTGAGATGCCCAAATCTTTTTGCTTCAATTTGGAAGCCATGTTGCTCATCCTAAGAATGTGGTCTTTTACACCACCTCCATGGTACCTCTCTGTAACAAGCTGATTTATCAGCTGTGTCGCATAAAACTTTGAAGAACCACTAAACTGGCTCTTTATACTTTCGAGGTACTTAGAGACAGTGTCATACTCTGGGATTGAGCCCAATATGGTTGGCTCAATCGTGTTCTTTACCGCAGCCAAACAATTCTTGTTGGCTAAGGACCATTTCGCATGCTCAATGTCATACGACATGATGAGGGAAGCATTGTCCCTCTCTCTCTTTTGTCATTCAGCATCTGACTCTTTTTCACCTCTGAAAATTTCAGCAGGTTCTATAGGACATGGGGTAGTCAACACCCAGTCCACCTCTCCCAAGATAAAAGCAAGGTCGAGTTCTCTTTTCCATTCTTCGTAGTTATCTCCTTTCAGGGTCGGAATATCTTTAATGTAACCCATCAAGGAGTAGCCACCTGAGATAATCATGTATTGTGAGAACAAAATTAACATTAAAATTATTATGTATTAAGTCTACATCACCGTTGGGCAGAAAATAGACATAACACATAAAGCCATAACTATAACATTGCAATTATCAACGTTGGTCAGAAAAATTACAACATCATAGCACATAATTAATGTTCCTAAAATTAAAATCTCCCGTTGGTTCGAAATTTAATTTTAGAAACACTAATTTTCATCAATTTCATCTATTTGCAGCGGAAGATCTATATACAATTCATATAAACAATAACAAAACTCTGTTGTTTACTCTCTGTAAAAATTCTCCCGTTGGTTCAAATTTAAACAGAGGTAAAACATGTAAAAACAATTCAAAATTCTTTTGTAATTTGCATGAAAATATACAAAATACATGTTCAGAAGCATTTCTCACATTTATCTATTCTCTAAACAATTTTCACGTTGGTTCAAATTGCTTAGAAATAAGCACAATCATTAAACATATTGAAAATGCTTCCTTCGGAGGGACCTAAAGTGAACTTTTCCGGCCTTTGCCGGTCGGCCCATGGCCACCTTGCGCGCGGGCGAGCGCCCCCTCCCCTCCCCCAGGCCGCAACCTGGGCCTGGGCCGGGAAAGCCGCCGCCGCGCGCTCCCCACTTGGGCCGCTTTCGGCCCGGCCGCCGTCGGCCGTCCGATCGCTAGGGTTTCGATCGGACGGTCGCGCGGGCGGATCGGGCAAACAAAACCGCCCCCGGCCGCCGGCGCCGAAACCCTAGCTCCTCTTCTCTTCTTTCTCTTGCGGTTGCACGGAGCGGCGTCGCCGTCGCCGAAACCCTAGCACAGCGCCGGCGGCGGCACGGCGACACGGCGGCGCCGTCGCACTCCCCATCGCCGGTGCGCGCACTCACTCGAGGGTGAGTGCGCTGCCGTCGAGCGGTTGTGCCGCGGCGCCCCCTCCTTCTTTCTCTTGCGGGCGTGCGCCGTGCCGAGCGGCGTCGCCGACGCCGGCAGCCTTCGCGCCGCCGCGCCATGGCCGACGCCCTCGCGCCGCCACGCCCTCTATTCTTTTCTCTTCTCCCCCCCACCGTCTCACCCCTCCACGCGAGTGAAGAGTGAGAGACCGGCGACGACGGAGATGGTGGCGCCGCCGCGGGCCCCCTCGCCGGCGCGCGCGTTCACCCGCGGGTGCGCGCGCGGCTGTCGAGTGGCTCCTCGGCGGTGCCTCTTTGCCCCTCTCCCCCTCCGTGGCCGGCGTCAACGACGGCCGGCGACGAGGTAAGATTAGGGTTAGGGTTTCGATCTTTTCGATACGTTGGATCGTTTGCTTTTCTTTGCTTTGGATTTCTTTCTTCTCTGTGGATGTCTATCCCCGAACCAAAAATAAACGCTAGGATGGCTCTGATACCATTGTTAGTGTTTCCTATTGGATCACCTAGGTTTAGATCTAGTCGGGTGGTTCTATTTGCGATGGATGATTGAACAACAATAGAGAATAAGGGAAAGGGTTTAGGGATGTGACCGGTTGACGCGTTGGATGAAGAGGAAGTCCCAGCCATCGTCGTTGTCGTCGCTCTGCTTGACGTGGGCGGCGGCGGCGATGGCGGTCGTGACGGCGACGGTGCTGCGCGGCAGTGGTGGTCGTAGGGGATCCCGGCGAGGTCGTGGCGCGGCGGTGGAGTCTTCCCGTCACTGGCTGCGCCCCCTCGATCGGTTAGGGTTTATGGGGTGGAGTGGCGGCGACGGCGACGAACCTCGTTCCTTGTGTCGTTATGCCGTCCCGTCCTCCACCCCTCTTTATATGGCACAGTGTGACGGGGCCCACCAGCCATTGGGCTGGGCGCCCCCGATCAGGGCGCGGGTCAAGGCCCCCTTGAGCCGTTGGGCTCAAGGGGAGGGAGATCCATCTAACAAACCAATCCTCCTTTATTCCGCCAGCACTTGACTGCCCCGACCGATCGAGCGAGCGAACCCCCACCGGGGAAGCCAACTTTTCCCGGGTTGCCACCTGCGTGCGCGAAGCACGCCAGTAATCCCATCCCATGAGATACGGGTGTCACTAGCTGCCGCGGCGCCGGGAGAACGGGAGCTCTCGGGCTCTCGCCTGTGCCGATCGATCGCTGCGTCCGTCGCCGCCATCGGTGGTTCGACGACCCGAACACCGATCCGACGGCAATACGGCATCGGCCAACGCCTAACGTTGCGAGGGGTTTACCGTACGGTTTTCGTGCAGTTCTCGTAGTTATCTTGTGCGGTAATTTTCTCGGTTTTTAAAACTACGGAATACCTCGTGTTAATCACACGGTTTTCACGGTAACAACGCGGTTACCACGATAACTGCTAAACTGTAGTGTGATGATAACCCCACCCAAAATGGTTTGGTGAACCTTGGTTGCGAGACCGTGGACTCAGTTAGACCAGCCAGTTATTAGACCGTGGTGTCTTGTCTACAGGTAAAAAAAGGGAAGGGAGTCTGGTTCCAAAGTGCCAACATCTTATTCAAGTATTCAACACAAGTTCAATGCCTTGACCTTTGCATTGTTGAAGTCCACAATATTGTCAGCTTGTCGTCTTGGACGGCAAGGCTATATATATACATTACACCAATTGGTCAGGACAAGTATGCAGCACAACAGCCAACCCAAAAAGAACCATCATCTCGTCAGTAGTGGAGGGCGCCTAGAACCGCGGCTTTCACACAACCTGGTGGCCAGCCAGCACATTGTTGTCGTTGCAACCAAAAGAAAAGCCATAGTTCCTGATGCCTGCACAGAGTCATGTGAACATGTGAGCTGCAAGAATTTCCCTGATGGATAAAACGAAAAATATGGCAGCAAGAACATTGCATAAAAGCAAACCAACCTAAGATTATATTTACAGAGGGAGCAGAGCAGCCATGTTCTACTGAAGATGGTGCACCCAGCTAGAGCACTTGCCATCACTTTCTTGTGATATAAACCTGGAACGCAAGCTCATCTTCGTCCATCTCTTTCACAAACTTGCAGACATCCCCAGCCTGGAGGTTGTTTGCTGCAGCAAAAGGTTTCCAGCCCGCGGTGAAGCCTACGAAGACCGGTTTGTCATGGTAGAAGACCGGCCATAGCCTCCTCATGGGATCCTTGAGGATTACGACGTTCCGGTCATACCTTCCTTTTTGCCGACAAGTGATTGGAAGCGATTTGGGCAACTCCTGAACAAAGACAGCAAAGAAAGAGCAGTTGTCAATGGGCTTGCCATACTCATCAACAGTGTCAGGAGCTTTATAGCGTTATTATAGGCAAGTGTAAGTCAAAACTAAAGTTTTATGCTGCATCAATTCCTTATTGTGATCTTAGTAGATTGATGAGTATGCCCAAGAACAAGTAGCTACTGACCTACTGTGATACTAGTAGAGGGGTATCTTTTACAGCGGCCTAAAACGAATTAAGACAAATAGAAAACACACGAATTCAAGCCTCAACAATACAATCATAACCAGCAATGAGCTATTCTGGAGTGATGCTTTTTTATGTGGCCTAGATAATAAACAGATGTTTCCAATCCAAACACACCGCCCTCACTGCAATCAGCATGAACTCAACAAATTGCATCCATTGCACAACACTGTAGCTGAAAACCTTCACGAATTGCATAAGGTGGCGCATTACAATCTAGAGATATATGATTGGGTTTCTGCTGACATGGCCACTAAGATTGCATCTTGGCAATTAACTTATTACTTCCTCTGTCCCATAATATAGCAACCTAGTACCGGATGTGACATTTCATAGTACAATGAATCTGGACAGGAGGAACCTAGTACCAGATGTGACATTTCATAGTACAATGAATCTAGACATCCTCCTGTCCAGATTCATTGTACTATAAAATGTCCCATCCGGTACTAGGTTGCTATATTATGGGACGGAGGGAGTAATTGTTTAGCAGTATTTTATAAAACTATATTTCTATGGTTTTTTGCACTGCTAGATAATATTTTAATAATTCATGTTTGTATTTGAAAGTAGAACTCTACTCCTTATATAACTCTTGCACCTATTTCTGAAAATACAACTGTACAACTTATACGACTCTTTAATATTGACTCAATGTTCTTCATCCCAACCTAAGTCCTCCCTTCATACCTAGCGGCTAGCAGCCAACACCACCCAGCTATCCTCCAGCGGTGTTTGCTCGTCATGGACTCGGACCACGACACCTTACGTTGCAGATGGGTAGATCCATCGCAATCCAAAAGTGCAAGTCCTTATTTTTCACTCTTGGTGTGGCATTTTTTCTATATACTGCTAGTATATACTTGCAGTACAATGTACTCCCTCCATTCCAAAATATAAGGCACAACCACTTTTGTTAAATGTTCTATAATATAAGGCATGCATACATGTAGGCAATTAACTATAGCATCTTCTCCATTAAATTATTACTTTTTTAAATCATCCACTCTCATGTTTTCTAATTCTATTGGATGCATGCATTGTATTTATTAGGATGATCCAAACTACAAGATGATAATAATTATTTCTTGGTCTTTGAGTTATGAGTGGTTATGCCTTATATTTTGGAATGGAGGGAGTACCGTAAAAGTCCTCTTTTTCTATCCCTTGATTCCATGAAAGCAGATATGATGGATTATTCTGCCCTTGTTTTAATAAAATACTAACGAGCTGCAAAAGAAATTGTCCATGGGATACAAACAACTCACAAGCCATTTCTGAATGGTAGAAGGGATGCAGAATTGAAGGGAATGATCATCCAGATCCAGGAGTTCAGCCTTAGCAGGCAGCAGAGCCACTGGGGTTACACAACTGGTAAAATTTCCATTTTCCTGCTGGGGGATCTGAAGTTCTGCATGGGTGAATTTGAGTGCCCAACAAGAAACACAAAATGAAATTGGTCAGCCTCTCCTTAATTTTACAATGAAATAAACTAGGTAAGTTCACCTGATTGATGAGCAAATACACGGTTGACAGACACTGCAATTTTGTCCCCCTTTCTATTTCCGCTGCTACCAGTTGGTTTCAATGGCTCCTTTTTTGTTTGCAGTTGAACAGTAGCTCCTACCAAATAGACAATTCAGTACACGCTGTAAATAAAAATTATATTCAAACTAAACAAGCTAACTTTGTAAATGTTAGTTTCAGGCTTTTGAGAAATAAAAATAGTTTCAGGCTTTCAGACATCATAGGTATTATGAGAAGTAGCACCCTTCCACCTTTTTGATTGAACAAATGGTTGACCTCTGTCCTGCTACGTCCGCATTTGGATATTGATACGCTATCAAGAATCGAGAGTTCTTCAATAGGTATGTTGAGAATTGGTTTGAGGCAGGTATCAGTAACATCAGACTCTATCCGTAGATCAACTGGACTTTCTCCCATTGCACCACAATTACCAACTAACTTCTCTCCAGCTTTTTGTGTTTTTTCAGGTCTAACCTGTCCAATGTCATCAAGAGCTGCTCGACCGTTCACAATACCCCTTTTCCACTTCTCCAAGCACCGAGTACCCGCTGGAGCTTCATATATTCTGAAAATATTTCCACTAATATTCATCTCACTATCATTAGGATATTTATCAACAGCTATGATAGAATTTACTTGAACGGAATTCCTTTGATGTTTCTGTCCTAAATCTTTATCTGAATCATGAGTTTCTGATGTTGTTGGAATAGCAGCAGCAAGTTCAGATTCTCTTGTTGTGCTTCTGTCTTCCTCGAAGCAAGAAAGTGTATTTAACTTCACCGTATCAATATTTTCTTGTGTTAAAGGAATTACACCGGTGGTTGGAGTTATTTCAGATCCATTTGTTTTTTCTGTGCTACATGCTGGTGAAATATTCTTGTTTTTGGGCTCTCCAAGGATCAAATTTCCCATCTTATTGTTTAGTGCTACTGAGGATTCACAACAAACACCATCTACAACTCTTTCAAGGTCTTTTTGTGTATTGATAGTCACATGATGTATTTCTGAAGCTTCACTTGGTGCTGTTTGCTTCATGGTATCCTCGTCTACTTGTGTTGAATAAGCTTCATCACTTATTATAATAACCTCAGATCTTCTTGTTTTTTCTTGGATACAGAACACAGAGTCACTCCTTGTATCACACTCCCCATTGCTTAAATTTCTAACCTTATTACCTAGTGCCCCTAAGGATCCATATCCAATCCCACTTTCAACTCTTTCAGAGTCTTGTGTTTCGGAAGCTGCATTTATAGATTTAGCAACTAGATTCCTGGTACCAATCTCAGCATCAACTGTTATTTTGGGCTCTTTGCTCCTAGGAGATTCACCAGAAACATTGGGGCCATCGTGTATGTCTTCAGAGTCCTGATACTGACCATTATAATGTGATATCAAATCATCAGATAATGTATGCCTTTCTTTCCTTTTCTTCACAGCACCTTTTCCTCCGCTTTTGACACTGAAATGTAGTCTTTCACAAGAATCAATACCAAACACCCGCACAGAAAATGTTGATTCTGGTGTGTACTCAAATAATAGAAATTCACCCCACTTAATACAATGTTCTGAAACGAAACTGTTCCATCCCTCATAAAAAGCTAGGGAACCATCCACCACCGATAGCCTGATCTTTGAACACTTCCCCTCTGAGTCTTCAAGATATACATGGCGATCAATTAAATCCTTAAGGCTGGGTGCAACTGCTGGTGGTATGAACTGCACAAGAATAAATCAACATTATGTGCATATAATATTTAAGGATAATCATCATGGTACAGTACAAGAAGAAAAAACAATGACAAAAAAGACACTAAAATGAACAAGAAAAAACAGAGCTGAAATTACGGAGACTTTTTAGGGTGCTTGAGAGCTATGGAGAGATATTTAAGCAGCGAGGCAGGTGCCAACTTAAAAATAAGACAGAAAGTTGGATACTTCATGCATCCATGTAAACAGAGAGAAAAAGAAAACATAACTGCTTATCTGATCCTTTCGGCCAAAATATTTTTTTATCATTATGGTCGCAACAAGAAAGATGACTAGTTGCTTAATGGCCATGTCAATGGCAGCAAAAGGCTACTACAGCACCATAACGATGCACTACGGAGAACAGGCCATACATTCATTGGGTTTTTTTCTGATTCTCCGAAGGTTACAAGAGGTACCACTCCAAGGAGAGCTGGAGAGGTACATAAGTCTCCAAAGATGAGAGAAAACCTCCACACGATGTTATAAACTCTGGCACCTCTTGCTCTTGGCTCCTTTTCAAGAATGGTAAAAAGGATGTAACTGAATAATTTACAAGGTCAAATTGAAACTGACTCTGTTCGTACAAGGCCTCTTCATCATTCCTCTGTGTAGTTGATTTAGTCCTGGTTGTCAATGGCAGGCAGGATTGTAGAAAGAAGAATACAGCATATGGTCACCTTTAAATTAACCAATGACCGATAATATTAGATGATATTAATTTCCAAGTACCTTCCAAGTTTCAAGCACAAATAAAAGTCTCAAGGTCATGGATAGCTAATTAAAGAAGAGCTTATGAGCAACAGACATAATCAAGTATGTGTAGGAATTAGAAATCTGCACACACCAGTAATTCCTCGAACTCGTCGCGCACAAATTTGAAGAATGCGAAGGCTGCTTTCCTTTTCTTCTTCTTGCCATCCCTACAATTTTTTTTCTCATTTCCTATAGCAACAATACAAGCCTTCTTCGTCTCCTTTTTATTGTCACTGCTAGCCACTCGCTCCTTCTGCTCCCTCTTCAATGGTGTAGATGGCGCCTTCCTCTTCTTTTCCTTGTTTTTAGTGCTAAATGTCTGAGCTGTCCTCTCATCAGGTTGAACGAATGATGCATCCCGCTTCTTTTTCTTCATCTTCATCTCCATACTGTCACTAGGTCGCATTTTCCTCTCCTTTGCAACAAGTGTATTAGACAAAGTCCTCTTGTTCGTTCCATCTTTCTCCATCTTACCCTTGTTGACTGAGAGCGGCACTGTCTTCTTATAGCTGTCACCGTCACTCTTCATATTCTTCTCACCATTCTGGTTGCTCGTGCGCTGCATTTTTATTTTCCGCATCTTTTCAAAGAATGGAGTGGTCACCTTCCTACTCTTAGCCTTCTTGTCGCCATTCAACAACTTCTTCCCCCTTTGCTCAGCATCGCTTCCAGCCTTCCTATTCTTTCTCCAGTCACTGTGTGACGTCGCCTCTTTGCTGGCATCGTTTACCACACTCTTCTTCAGGTCATCACTGCACTTCCTCTTCCTCTTCCTCTTCTCTTCATCGGCATCATTTCGCGAGTTCTTCTTCATGTCATGACGACTGCGCTTCTTCTTCTCTTCGTCATCACCATCTCGCATGTCATCACTGCTCTTCCTCTTCTCTTCGTCGGCATCATTTCGCAGGTTCTTCTTCATGTCTTGACGACTGCACTTCTTCTCTTCGTCATCACCATCTCGCATGTCATCGCTGCTCTTCCTCTTCTCTTCGTTGGCATCATTTCGCAAGTTCTTCTTCATGTCGTGACGACTGCACTTCTTCTTCTCTTCGAAATCACCATCTCGCATGTCATCGCTGCTCTTCCTCTTCTCTTCGTTGGCATCATTTCGCAAGTTGTTCTTCATGTCGTGATGACTGTACTTCTTCTCTTCGTCATCACCATTTCGCATGTCATCACTGCAGTTCCGGTTCTTCTTTTTCGTTTTGTTGAAGCTCCTGAGCCTCCCCACGCATCCCTGCCCTCGAACAGCACCATCCATCCTTATAAACACCAATAAATCCCCAGTACAGTCTAGTCTAAAGCAATCACTGATGAATCTCTCCAATCACCTGGAACAAACAGCGGACCAAAGAAAGCATCAAATCAGCAGTAAAAACAAAAATGAGGCTACATTATTGACAGGAAGCAACAGAAAAAAGCGTCACCCGAACTCAATGTGCGATACTGCTCAAGTTCACCCCCAAAATGTAATAATAACCTCTCAACCTACTTCCTCGTCTCAGTCATCCCTCATTTTATTCATCTCTCTCATTAATTTCACTCCTTACATTTTGCAACAGATGGAGTAGCATAGAAGGAAATAAACTTAGGGGGTGTTTAGATCCAGGGGTGTAAAGTTTTGGCGTGTCACATCGGGTATTATATAGGGTGTTCAGACACTAATAAAAAAAACTAATTACAGAATTCATCGGTAAACCGCGAGACGAATTTATTAAGCCTAATTAATCCGTCATTAGCAAATGTTTACTGTAGTACCACATTGTCAAATCATAGAGCAATTAGGCTTAAAAGATTCATCTCGCAAATTAGTCGCAGTCTATACAATTAGTTATTTTTTTAGCCTATATTTAATACTTCATATATGTGTTTAAACCTTCAATGTGACAGGGTGAAAAATTTTAGGGTGAGATCTAAACAGGGCCTTGTAATCATCTTCTAGCCACAACTCACAAGAGCAGAGCTTGAACTTTACCTACATTTGGTTCTAGAAACAGTATTGCCGGGTCGATGTCCCTCTGACCATCTCCGAGCGGAAACACCACCCCAAATGCACCTTCTCGATCTTGGGGATAACACCACCTCGAGTTGGACAGACCAGCGCTGCTACCGCGCTTCCCCCCGATGCGGAAGCTGCCAGGCGGCGGCGGAGGGGAGGGAGAGGAGGGGGAGGTGGATGGCGCGGAGCGGGAAGGAGAAGAGGCGGCAAGCCGTCTCCCGTCTGGGCCTCTTGGGGTGGGTCGTCGTGGGAGAAGGAAAAAGGCGGCAAGCCCAGAGCAGGGACGGGCGGATCGGTGGCCACGCTAGGGGATCGGACGAACGTGATGCGATGTTGCGAGATAGGGAACGCTGCTCGACTGCTCGAGCCTCCGGGGGTGGGCGGTGGGACCCATGCCTCGGAAACTGTTACGCGCCATAAAGTGTTATAATGGCGCTTGACCAACCATGGAAACTTGGCAAGTGACCATCCAAAAATTATGATTTTCTTTTTCTTGTGAGTGGTTAGCCCCCTATAAAAATACCTTCGTCTTATTAAAAAATTTATGCAAATATAAAAAAAGAAAAGTTGTGTTTAAAGTAATTTAGATAATAAAGTAAGTAAAAAAATAAATAATAATTCTAAAAAATTTTTAAATAAGACGAGTGGTTAAACAGTGCAAACAAAAACTCAAAATCCCTTGTATTATGGGACGGAGGGAGTATAATTTTTTCTTCTTTTGTTTTGAAATTTTCCTATAGCTTTTATGACAAAAGCTTTTGTTTTATTTTTTTCTTATTCTTTGAGAAATTGTAGTTCAATTAATATTGATGTTTCATCCTATAGAAGTTGTCCCCTCCTTGAATTCGTTCAAGATCAGTAGCCGGCTCACTCAACGTCACAATGGATAAAACCATCGTTCGTACCGTTCAAAGGGATAAAATCTATTAGTTTTAATAGTCGAGGGACCTCCATTTTCATATATAGGTGGAAAAAATTAAAAAACAATCCCATAAGTCACATAAAATTTAACATTCTACCTCATAAATCATTTTTTTTGCAATACCCTCAACTTAGTTTTGTTGTAAATACCACCCCCGATGCGTACGTGTTTAATCGAAACAACCCGTTATCCCTAATATAGTATTATTAAATTGATTCAATTAAGCACGTGCGCATTGGCTATCTTGGGGTGGTAAATCAAAACAATCAATTTTGTCCAAGTGTTTGCATTATATTTATTTTCTATATTTGTTTGAGCTTTTTTTTTCATACAACAAAACTCAGTACGATAATGTTTAAACTCTCCTCAACAATTTTATTTGTGGAATATTAAAAAAAATATCAAGACTATACTCTGAAATGATTTAGTTTCAGTAAAAGCCACCTTGACAGCTCACACTTTATGAAACACATGTTGATTCGATTAAACATATGAATACTATGATGGTTTTTAAATAAAACTAAGTAGGTTGGTTGACACTTGAAAAGAATAATTTATGGGATAGAATGTAAAACTTTCAAATAACTTATGGATGTTTTTTTTTTGCAATTTTTCCTATCTAGTTTTGTTGTTCAAAGTTATCATTTAGGCTATGGCTCATTAAAATTTATAAAAAAGATTTAGGGCATATTTGGGGAGCTTAACATTATGAGAAGCATCTGGTTGGTAGCTAGCTTCTAAGAATTTAGAAAAGTGGGGTTTCCCAGCTTCTGACTTCTAGTTCATTTTATATAGTATTTTACAACTACAACTTCTCAGAATCTGAACCAAAATCTAGGGCCTGTTTGGGGAGCTTTAGATTCTGAGAAGCAGCTGTTTGGTAGCCAACTTCTGAGAATCTGGAAAAGCTTTGAAACCCAGCTTCTGGCTTCTTAGTTCATTTTTTAGAATATGTAATTACAGATTCTCAGAAACTGTGGATTGTTTGAGGCAGCTTCTAGCAGAAGCATCTTTTGGGAAAAGCTGCAGCTGGGATAAGCTCCCCAAAAAAGACCTAAACTGATTGGAGGCTTTTGATTCTGGGAGAAGATATAGACCCTCTCTGTTTAGGCTTAAGCTTATTGGCTTAGACTTTTAAGTCAGCTTATTAGCTTATATGATTTATAAGCCGGTGGATTTAATATCCTAAGTTTAATGGTGGAGTCATACATCTACCTCACATAAGCCAAAAAAGCTTCTCCAACCTAGCTTTTGGCTTAATAGTGTTAGAGTGGCTTATGGCTTCAAAAAAGACAAACGAAAAAGCCGCTTGTTTGTTTAGTCTTAGACTTTTCGGCTTATAAGTTGGCTTATAAACCTAAACAAAGAGGGCCATAGTAGAAGCTCTCCAAACAGACGCTTACTTTCCTACGATACTCCTATCATTTACTCCCTCAGTCTAAACACTCAAATTCTATTGATAAATATACAGTTAGAATTTATTTTATTTACAGATTGAATACTAGCAACCGAAACGTTTACACTGGTCAACGGGTCGGCGAAAATCCACCACCGGGGGCCCGACACGAAGAAGTACACGCGATCTCCCGGGAGCCCGGTTAACACACTCCGCCACGTGGGGTCCGACCAGCTGACAAATGCGGCAAGGTGACATGTCACCCTCCCATCTCCCACTGAGTCCTGGGTCCCACTCGTAAGCACAGTCTCCTCCAAGCCTTCGCCGCTCTGCTACTCCACCTCCACCTCCATGCACCCTGGGGATCGGGGCCCACACGCCATCGTCTCCACCGGACCAAACATCCCCCCAAATTTTTCTTTCTTCCTCCTCGGCGATGGCCTGATCGGATCCCACCCCCCCCCCCGGGCCCAGATCCAGCGCCGCCCGCCGCCGCCGTGGCCGCCGCGATGGGCGACCACTCCGACTCCGACTCCTCCCCCAAGTCCTCCTCCTCGTCGTCCGCCTCTTCCTCCGCGCTCCGCCGCTCCCCGCCGCGCGTCCGGGTACAGTCCGACGAGGGCGGCAGCAGCGACGGCGTCCTCGTCGAGCTCCCCTCCCAGGTATTCCCCCGCCGCCGCCGCCGCCGTCTCGGCCGTCCTTTTGTCATGGTACCTGGCTTCGCGTGAGGAGGACGGCTTATGGAAGCTTCTGCTGCTGCGTGTAGGAAGCGCGGAGCCCCGGTGCCGACCCCGACGGCGGCGTCCTCGTCAACATGCCCGCCGACGACGCCACCAGCGGAGAGACCTTCGAGGACGCGCCGGACGACCTCGGTGGCTCCCGCTCCGCCCGCTCCCTCGACGAATCTATCGCTGTCATCGATTTCCCCGACGAGTCGAGCTTAGCCGCCGAGTGCCGGAAGTACAAGGTGTCGCTTCGCTTTTTGCCTCATCTACCCAGTCAATAGTTGATGCGATATAGCTAATAGTTTGTAATAATGCGGACGTGGAATGAATGAATTTGGTTCAGGAAGAGAGGGAGGTGTTTGCACGGGAGGCTGTGGCGCTCCGAGGGATGCTGCGTGAGCTTGTGGGGGAAGATGCTTCGGGATCGTTGCCGGCGGAGGACTCTGATGAGAGGGCGTCGGGATCGCTGACGCCGCTGCACTCGATGCTTGACGATTGCTCGAGACTTGTACTTGAACTGAACTCAGTGGTGCGTGCGAGGGAGCAGGAGATCGAGAGCTTACGCGGTAGGTCTGCGGAGGTTGAGGTGTCGAGGGAAGGGTCAGAACAAGCTATTGGGAGAATTGTTGCTTCTGTTGATGCTGTGGTTGGGCAATATGACGTCAGCAGTGAGGGTGCTGATGAAGAGGGGATATCTCTTGTTGAAAGGAAGACTTCATTGCTGGCAGAGAGGCATCGACAAATCTTACTGGATATTGAACAACTTGAGCAGGTTCTAGCAGAGGTACAGCCTGATTTTGGGGCTACAGGGCAATGCGATCATGCTACCATCTTAGGTATTGTTTCGGAAGAACTGGTTAACAGCAAGAGGAATAAAGCAGATTTCCTGCAGAAGGTGAACACTTTTGGGGAAGAAAACAAGAATCTTGCTGAAGAGCTTCAGAGTGTGAAAGCTGCTCTGGATGTAGTGAATGCTGAAGCAAAAAAGGCAAAAGCAGAGTTCGAACAGGTGGAGCATAAATTATCGACAACTAAAGAAAAGCTCAGCATGGCTGTTACAAAGGGCAAGTCGTTGGTGCAGCATCGTGATTCCTTGAAGCAGGCATTGGCAGAAAAGACAGCTCAGCTTGATGGGTGCATGACAGAGTTGCAGCAGAAGTCAGATGCCATGCAAGCAGCTGAGAGCAGAGTTGAGGAACTCAAGATTTTGCTGGATGAAAAGTCGAATGAACATGAGCAATGTTTGGATGAGCTTCGAGAAACATATAATGCATGGGAAGCCGCTAAGGCTGCTGTTGAGCAACTGACTGAAGAAAACACTGCACTTACTTCTGTTCAGACTTCCCTTTCAGTAAAGGATGTGATTCTTCAACGCATTGAAGGGGTAATGTCAGAAGCATCATTTCCAGAGGATCTGCTTTCCTTGGAGATGGCTGACAGATTGGAATGGCTGGTTGAGCAAAAGAAAATTGCTGACATGATCTTCTCAGAGCATCGGAAAGTTAAAGATATCCTAGCCTCAACTGACCTTCCACATGCAGTCTTAACTGGTGAGCTCGATTCACAAATCCATTGGCTTCTCAATTCACTGTACCAGGCTAAAGAGGATGCAGCACGGATGCAGGATGAGTCCTCTGCTATGCTGCACAAACTGGCTTCACATGAATCCAAGTTGAATTCAATGCATGAGGAAGTTGACCGCTTGACAATAGCTCTACTTGAAGAGAAGCAGGAAAAGGACATACTTGCAAATGAACATGCTGAATTGATGTCCCTGTACCATGCTGCTAGTGATCAATTGTCTGTTGTCTCGTCGCGGTATACTGAGCTTGTGAAGGCATTTGCAGAGGTTTCTGATGTCCAATTGGAAGACCATGAAATCCTGGACGGTGGCAAATTAGTTGAACAGTGCCTCGCCAACATCCAAGGAAGAGCAAAGTCCTCTCCTGTTGAGTGTGAAAGTTTCGAGAAGCTTCAAACACAAGTTTATACCCTAGATCAGGAATTAACATTATGTAAAATAATTCTTGAAGAAGACAAGGCTGATAGATCTGAGATGATGAGGCTATCTGGTGAATTACAAAGAATGGTACAGGAAACTGACGCACTGAAAAATGAAAAGGACTCATTACAGAAAGAGCTTGAACGGGTGGAGGAAAAATCATCTTTGCTTAGGGAGAAATTGTCAATGGCTGTTAAAAAGGGCAAGGGTTTGGTACAGGAACGTGAAGGACTCAAGCAAGTCCTAGATGAGAAGAAATCTGACATAGAGAAGCTAAAACATGCTCTGGATGAAAAGAATGCTGAATTAGAAAACTTGAAACAAACTCTTGATGGAAACAACTCTGTTTTAGAGAAGCTAAAACAAGCTTGGGATGAACTGAACTCTGAATCAGAGAACATAAAACAAGCTTTGGATGTGAAAAACTCTGAGGTAGATAAGTTAAAGCATGCTCTTGATGAGAATAACTCTGAAATAGAGAATTTAAAACATACATTGAATGAAAAGAACTCTGAAACAGATAAGCTAAAACAAGACATTGATGCAACATACATGGAAATGGAGAATCTAAAATATGAGATAGCATCAAGAGAATCTGCCATTACGGATCTCAGAGAGCAAGTTGAGCATCTGTCTTCTCAGGTCACACACTCTCAAAAGTTGCAGTTGGACATTATTTCCCTTATTGACGAAAAGGGAAAAGTGGAAAGCATGTTGGCAGAAGCCAAAGTTTCTTCGGGTGCTCTAGTTGAATTGATATCAAGCATTTCTCTTCCTTTCGATAGCCCATGTGAGGATCCTATCGACAAAATAGGTCAGATTGCCCAATATATCAAGGAATCACAAGTTACTAAGAGCTCTGTGGAGAATGAGCTACACAAAGTAAATGAACAAGTTACCTCACAAGCTAGCCAGCTTGCTGATGCCCTTTCCAGCCTAAAGGTATTGGAAGATGAATTGAGTAATTCAAAGGAGTATATCTCTTCTATTTCTGAAGAAAAGCGGCAGATGCAATTGCATACTGCTGCTGTAGAAGAGGAGTTGGAGAAAACAAATGAGGAACTGGCTATTTATGCCAGCAAATTCGAAGATGCCAATGTAACGATTAACTCACTACAAGATGCATTGTCACAGGCTAGAGTGAATATTTCTGTTCTTGATGCTGAAAAGAAGGAAGCTGATGCCAAGCATGAAACAGAAACTAGTGCTCTTAATGCTAAGCTTGCCAAATGTTTGGAAGAGTTGGACAGAAGTCATGGAAACTTACAAAGTCATTCAACTGAACATGATGTTTACCTTGAGAAACTTAGTACACTTGTAATGGATAACAGCCTCTTATCATTAATGACTGAAGAATTTGGAAAGAAGGTCAGTACCTTGAGAGAAATGGCCCTTATTGTGAGGAGTATGCGTGAACAGCTTGCTGCAAAGGGTTTTCAGATTGACCCAACAATGGAGGTAAAGTGCCCCTCCTCTCCTGGCCTCAATGCCCCCTCCCCCCACCCCCCAACACACACACACGCACTCAATTGTATGACTCTTTGTTTAAATGATTTATGATTTTAGCGTTTGTGCTTTTCAGTGTGTTTATGTTTTCTATTGTAATACACAGCTTTCTGAAGTTTTAGTATAAAGTTAGGACCTTGGTACTGACTCCATCTTACCACCAATCAATCTAGCTAAATTCTTCTTCTAATCATAACAGTTACTCCATTATACATGTACGCAATGCAGTTCTCGTGTTATGGATCTGTTGATCTTGTAACTCCAGAACAATTATTGTGTTTGTAACTGTTTCCTAATTCCTAACAATGGATACGGCGGTAAAATGACTTGAGACTTGCAGGCTTTCTGTTTTTTAAACTTTTAGATATTTCAGCGAGGGAACCAAAAAATGTTTTTACCTGACTTACACTTTATATATCTCAAATTGTGCCGATTGACTTGGCTTAATCATGTCAAACATAATCTGACCATTTCATATGTTCATAAGCAGGATTCAGAATCGGGAATGCTTCTCTCTTTCCCAGACTACGATAACTTTGTTACTGAAAGAATGGCAAGCAGCAAAATCAGAAAAAGGAATGTTGATGGTGCTTTGTCCTTCTCTACTGTTGTTGAACAGTTGAGCAACCAAGCTGAATACCTGTCTGAGATTTTTAAAGACTTGTCAGGTTACATGGATGAAAATATCACGCTGGTTCATCACTCTTTGCAGTTGGCAAGTAGCAAAGTTGCTCATACTCTAGAAGAGCATGACACCTTGAGGAATGAATTGCAAAACAAGGACACTCATAATAGAGCTCAAGAATCCGAATTGCTTTCTCTACAGAAAGAGTTGAGGGCAATGTCATCAAATTGTATTTATTGCTACCAACAGATTGAAACCATTTCTGATGATCTTCTTGAACTAGGCTATGCAATAGAATTGGCAACAGGAAACTCCAGCATTGTATCAAAAGTTGAAGGATCTTCATCTGTTTTGAAGGATGTGGATGCTAGTGATTACACTAAGGTTTCAGATGCTTTAGTATCTACTGTAAACAGACTGAAGTTGGAGTCAGAAAAGTTATCTAATATGAAAGAGGCAGTGTTCACCATGTTAGATGAGTTAAAAATGAGGCTGAAACAAACTGAATCAGCTGCTGAAACTTCTTTGCAGGAGCATGAGCTGTATGTAAAAAGAGTATGTGTGCTGGAGAAAGATCTTGAAACATTAAAGGATGAGCGCAAAGGAATGGAAATAAAGATCCAAGAGTACCAGGAAAGGGGGAATATGTTGAAGGCAAAAGAGATAGAGTTGCTGTCATTAGAGCACGCACAAAATACAACAGAGAGAGGTAATTTCTCTTATGCAACTGCCAACGGGACATTCTTTATTGACAATTTCCTACTTAGAACCTATTTACTTGTTTTATTCTTGTCCTAACTCTCGTCCTCTGTAAAATATTCAGGTATGACTGAGGTTATTTCAAAGGATCAATTGGAAGCGCTTGTTGAGAAAATAAATAAGTTAACATCATCTGCTGAGTCACATTTGCAGAGAGAATTGGCTATGTCCTCTAGTCCTATTGAAAAGCTCTTCAGTCTCATTGATGAAGTTTATGCACTTCGGCACGAAGTAGATACCTTGAGATATGAAAATGAAGATTTACATTTAAATCTTGAATCCCATACTCGTGAAATGGAGCAGCTAAAGGAGGCATCCAGAAATAGTGACTCAAACCGCAGGGAGCTGGAATCAAAGAGTAGTGAACTACTTGAGATAACAGTTAGTATGGAACGAATGATTCAGCGATTAGGATATCTTGGAGGAAAAGAAGCACTAGAAGATAACAAGCCTACAAGCACACAAGCACTCTTATCAAAGCTGGAAAAACTAATAATTGCCTCAAATGTGGAATCTGGGAATGCCAAGTCTGTAATACAGGAACTGGGAGCAAAGCTGCAGGTCAGGGAAAAGGCAATTGATGAGTTGTCAACAAAAGTTAAGATGTTTGATGACTTGCATCATGCTCGGCTTGTGCAACCAGAGGCTAATATGGATAGAGCATTTGAAGCATCTTCCTCAGCAGTTGGTTCAGAGATATCTGATGCTGAAGATTTGGTAAACCTTGTCTGTCTATTATCTTGTCAATTCTTTTCTTTTGCTCCATTACCTTTTTAGCATATGCCATTTACACTCCTAATATTATTAGATAGTAGTATTACTGTTCTTTCGTGTGATTTCCCTGGCCACAAATCTTATACATGCATTTTTTTTTTGTTTCTGATACTACACATGCCAGCACATCTCGTGAAGATGTATGAATATTCCATCTATGCTTTGGTTGTAACAATAGAGTCCACTTCTCTGCAGGGACCAGCGGGGAAGGCATCAATTTCATCTGTCCCTACGGCTGCGCATTCTAGACTAATGCGAAAAGGCTCATCTGACCATCTTGTTCTGAATATTGGCCGAGAGTCGGAACGACTAATTACTGCACAAGATTCTGACGACAAAGGTAACAGCATCCTTTTGTGTTGTTTAAATAATCATTTTTAATGTGTCATTGACAGTGCTGTATTTGCTGTATTGAAGGGCGTGTATTTAAATCACTGCATACATCCGGCATGATTCCAGCACAAGGAAAACAGATTGCTGATAGGGTTGATGGCATCTGGTAAGCAGCTTACACTTCAACAGACAATGCTGTCAAACACTGATGGGATTATGTTGATTTTTTCGTCGTGTTGACAATTATGATCGTCTTCTGGGAGTAGAGTAGTGCTTCCTACGAGTTCGTAGCTCGTACTTTTCTACACGTTTTAATATTTTATTTGCCTTTAGTCTAACCACGCTGTATTTTTCTGTAGTCTAACTGCCCTGTATTTTTTTCTGTAGGGTCTCAGGGAGCCAAATTCTGATGAACCGGCCTCGTGCAAGGCTAGGGCTCATGGTGTATTGGCTCTTCTTGCACCTATGGTTGATAGGCAGCATCTTGTGACCATTGCCCTCGTAGCATAATTGTACAATACTAGCAGATATATTCACAGTTTTATTTTCTTTCTTCTTAACTTAACTATACCTGGTACATATGGCATTCTTTTCATTTCCCTGCCCTCTGCTCTGAAATTGTACTCGAGCAGTACGTGTTGAGTTCCGCACACAGAATGTAATACGTGCAGAATAGAACAATACTAGTACCATTCTTTGTTACGCTGTAGAAGTGGATGTTTCTGTTGTAACCATGATAAATTCATCATGGTTTCTTCGGGAAGCATGATGGGAATAATATGAAATTGAAATGTTTCTTGGTTGTAATGAAAGCGTTCGAAAGTTTGAGCTTATTTTCGAATCATATCATGCTCCGTAGGAGTACTTGGCAGTTGGCTATACTCGCTTCATCCGCTTTTGATGCATAATTCGACTACTTTATGTCCTATCTTTGGGATTTGTCAAAAGTCAAAACTGAGAAAAGTTAGTTAATTGCTGTATCGAAGAAAAGAAATATGCAAAATTTAATGACATCAATTCTAACCTTACAAAAAAAAAAAGCTTAGGCTGAGTTCTCATCTCCACTTTCCTAACTCACATATCTCGTTTTCCACGCGCACTACTTTCCTAACTCACATCTCTTGTTTTCCACGCGCACGTTTTTTAAATTGCTAAACGGGAGTGAGGGTCAATAGTATACTACCGGTAGCATGTTCTCTAAAAAGTACAATTGAAATTCGACATTTTAATTCCTTCAATTTTTTTTTATATTCTCTAACACATCTTCTCTAATAAAAGTTCATTTGAAAATTTGATATTCTCAAACATACCCCCAAATTTTTATCTTAACCAACGGCAGCCAAGGCGGGCAAAACTGTAATTTCACCTCCAAACAAAACCCCCCTAATTACTCTTGCTCCAAAACCTCCACCCTTCTCAAGCGCTCTCTCGTAGGTTCGTCCTGTGTTTCCCTTCCCCCGCCCCCCCCCCTTCCCATGGCGAGCAACCCAAGCAGCTCCGCGGCGGGCGGCGGCGGCGACCATGGTGGCGCGCGCCTCGAAGACCTAGCACTGGACAAGGTGGCGGAGGCGGCCGACGCGGTCGCCGCCGCGTCGAGCGCCGGCGAGGTCGTCCGCGCGATCCACGCCGTCGCGGCCATCGTCTTCCCCGTCGACTCCGCTACCGTAGCCGGTGAGGCTCCGAATCCTAATCCGACATGCCCCCTATTCCCCTTTATCTCATTCGCTGTCACTTGGGGTGTCTGATGGCCTCTCTTGTCCGCGTGTGCTCTCCTGTAGGTACCGTGGACGAACCCTTCAGGAGCCAGGTGAAGCTCTGTGCTAATTCTAGGCCTTTTATTTCGTGCATCTGAGAAAAATGACTTGTAGTTTTATCATTGCTATTTTTGGTTCTGGCGCAAACAATGATGTGTGATTGCTAATAATCATGGAAGGGTAGCCGGTGATCTCTACAATGCAAGTCATGGATGGAATCCACAAGTCAGGCGTTTGGGGTGTTGAATGCTGGCTGTTTTGCTGAATGTCTTCGGTTTATTTTCATCTTTGAGCTGCTGTAGTTAACATGGCTGTCATGTTTTGGGTCAGGCCCCATGGGCTTGTGTGATGTTTAGTTTCTTTACTTGCTCTGAACCTTTTGTAAGAATCTTATCATTTCGTTAATGAAATGGGAGGGTCTCCGCTCTCTGTCTCAAAAAAAAAAAATCATGGAAGGGGTCTGTGATAAAAAAAAAGGAGGTCTTGAGTTTTTGTTTTGACTTGCAATCACTTAGGACTGTATGCCGAAATGGAGCATTAAGGTATCATAGTGAACACTATTGGTTACATGGACAATATTTCAGCCACTGTATTGTCATAATTGCGGTGCATATATTTGAGGAAATTGATCTCTGGAAGGAATTACTCCGAAACTGGATTGATAAGCATCCACAAAATTTTCCAATTGATAAGCATCAAATTGATAAACCTATAGCTTTAATAATGGTCACACAATGGGTAATCAAATTGCAGGACCTTGCTAGGTGAGCTGTAGCAGCATACTCCCTCCATACTCACAAAGGAAGTCGTTTAGGACAATGTTTAAGTCAAACCTTGGGAATATAAATCATGAATAACTCTCAAGTTGTTGAGTTTGAAAATGTAAAAATTATATGAATATATTTGTCTTGAAAAATACTTTCATAAAAGTATACATATATCACTTTTCAATAAATATTTTTATAGAAACAAGAAGTTAAAGTTGTGTTTTGGAGACCGTGTCGCTGTCCTAAACGACTTCCTTTACGAGTATGGAGGGAGTACATTTTGTAAAACCTGTGTCATTTGATAATTCATTCAGAATACAGAGGATCAAGTTTCATGCTTGAGAGATAAATTAGTATGGATATTCAAAGACACATGCTTCCTTCAATATGATTCAGCCAAATAGCCAATTGGAGTTCCATCCTTTTAGGCCATGATGTAACAGGGAGAATTATTTTCTGTACTTTCAGATTATTAATGGTGTAAGCCTCAGCAGTGATGAACGGGGATCTTGGAGGCATGCTTTTTGCCATGGTCCAGCGTTTCCTACTCTATCTAAGATTTTGCTTGGCCGTAAGTTTACTCTTGAATTTGTCACTGCAAACATACTTGTACCATTGATATTTTTTTCATGTACAACTCTCCCGTTTGCTTATAATGTTATCTGCCAGCTACAATCTCTACAAGTCATACTTCATTTGTATTGTTTACCAATCTCTACAATTTGATTACTATACGCTTAAAACTTCTTGATTGTTCATCACAGTTAGGCCATTTGCAAAGTTCCTTCAGTTATAATCCCATTCTCACACTTTGGTTGTCCAGATGTTGCCTTGAAGTGGTTACATCAGATTCGTGCCTGTGCAAGGAAGGAAATCTGTGATTCCTTTTTTGTCAAAGGATCTCCAACTGAAGTCATTCAAGCTCTTGTTCCTGCTTTGTCTCATAAAGTAGGCTCTAAGGAAGATCATAACATTATATGTTCAAACATTGAAAGCTTATTAATGAACAATCTATCAATTCTATTTCATTACACCTGAATCTTTTATTGGTCCAACTTTGTTTGCTTTTCCTATAAGTCTATAGCACATCCTTCTTTTTGACAACTCCCTGTGAGTTCACAACTTCAAATATTATACCCAAACCTTGTAGGACAAATTTTCAAGTTTCAACACTTCGACTGCATGGGTCTGTACTAATATCATGTATTTGCCCAATAGTCTGCTTTGTATTCTTAAGTCTATTTTATGCTCGAGTCATTAGGAATCAAACAATCTAGCATGCACACTTCATCTGAAAATTCATGGGCCTGTTCCTATCTGGTATCTTCCTTTTTTTTTCTCACCTGATAACCATATTTGAGCTTAGTTTGTCATTATTTTCCCACATTTCAGGCTGTTAATTCTATGTTTTGTCGAGAATAAGGGGGTCAGCCAGATTATTGCAGAGTTTACTGTAAGCAGCAAGCACGATGATCACAACTTGAACCCAGGCAGAGCAGCTTTGATTTCAAGGGTTGCTCAACTACTTGCGTCTGTTCCAGATAAAACAAGAATGGGAGCTTCACCTGCACTGACATCATCGTGTCCTCACCCCCACTGCTCCAAACACAAACATCTTTGTTAATTTTTTTTCCTTTCCTTTTATTTTGTTAGCTTTTTCTCAGCTAATACGTATTTATTTGCACTATGTTTGTTCCTCCAAACTGTAATTCCTTGATGGAAACCAAGGTCATTCTTCAAGTGTGCTGTCGATCAGCTTCTTGTTGCAACTGAACAAGCGGCTATGGAGTTGGCTGCTGACGAAGATGCTAATGGGCTAGATCCCTCTAATTCTGTGTTCCTCTTCGTGGGTGAAGTGATATCTCGTGCTAGCCGTCGTGGATCTACTGGTGAGTATTCATCCTTCAGGATGTAGCTTGACGTGTGCAGTGTGCTATTAGTTTATCTGCTTTGACATTTCTATCTACTGATGGGGGCAGTTCTAGTTGGTGCAGGAATGGTTTTGCAATGCATTTGTGTCTGGTAGGATTATAGTGTATTCAACTCAACATTTATGTTTGCGATGGTCTGCTCTAGGGTGATGGAGCTTATCCTTTTTTGTCCTCATATAATCCTTAATCCTTATGCAAACTAATTCAACACAGTGGTACACATTTGGTTTTCTCTGATGGTCCACTAATAGTCCCTTCAGCTGAAATTTTAAACATTTAAGGTAGCCTGTTTTTGGGTTTTTATCCAGTGTTCACTTTTGGCAATCACAGTAGACTTGGGGTCTGCAATGCTTGAGATGTCACCCAGGATAGCAGTGCCTCATGTCATGGCTGATCATCCTAGCACACTGTTCTAGTCATTAACAACTTCTTGTTTGTAATCTATGTAGCCATCCTTTTCCCTACTATTTGTTGTATTTCTGATAATATATCTTGCTCTTTTCAGGCATTTTAGGTGCTGAGCTGATTCCTAGGATCCGTAGTCACTTAAAGAGATGTATGGAATCTGATCATAAAACCATAAGTCCTGACAAGATCAAGCATGTTTCCCAATTTTGGTTTAATGTGGTTGAGGCTATTAGAGACCAGCATTCTGTTGAAAGGTTGGCGGAAGAGATGTTGCGCCAACTTGCATCACAACATACAAGCGATGAGGAGGCATACTGGATTCTGTGGACTTTGTTTAATCAGAGCTTCATGCACAAAACTGTTTTTGAGGTGAGAATGAGATAGTACATGTGCGCATTTTAATACTATGCAACACTTGACGTGCTTGTTTTTTAGTTTATCCACATTGGTTCATCTGTGTCTGGCATGCTACATTTATCTGTGAAGGAAAAAGTACTTCTGAGGTTTATTTTTTTCAGTTAGTGGATGTTTTAGGTAAGGTGAATGATAGTCTTCAGATACCCTGTATGTCTTTGTTACTTCATTCCTATGAACGACAAACAGGGTGCCATGTATGTTTACTTAACTTTCAGCATGGGCTTATATTATGGGTGTCTATTCAGCGTATAATTGGCATGCAGCGATTGATCAAATAATCTTCAACGTGTCTTTTCTTTTCTTTTCTTTCATCCTTTAATTCTCTGTGCTTTCTTCAGGGCAATGTTTGTTGACAAATTTTTGCGTTGGAAAACATTCCCTCTATGTTGTCTGAGATGGATTCTTCACTATGCTGTCTTTGAATTGCCACCAAATTCAGGCATAGAAACACAGAAGCAAAGGACATCGAGCTTCCTTGGTACACTGCAAACTTTAGTCAGTGTTTGGTCCAAGAAAGAGTTTGTCCAGGCATACTCAGTGGAGCAACAAGCTTGTA